ATTAACAGAACGATGAACGAAGATATACTTCCTATCATTAATTAAAAGGAATCATTTCTTTAATAATAATGTTCTATTTTAGAAAATAGACAGTAAATAATCATTATTTTTGTTCCCTGTTGTATTTGTACATGTGTATACTATATCAATAGTGGTGTATAATTTGTATATTATTTACCATTAGTATGTTTTGTTTTTGTATATTAATCATCAATATTTTAATATTAATTAAACAAGTGCATTTTGACGACAATAACAGTGAGATTGCTTTTTTGGGGGTAATTCCCCAAAGTTTGTTGATTGATTTCTGGTATTTGTTCCTAGAATGAAATTGTCACCCGTGAGAACCCAACTAAAAGAAAATTGGCTTTGTGCATTTTACAGCTTGCTTGAAGTATTGTTACAGAATATTCTTATTGTAATAAAATGAACGAAGAAATGACATTGATCTTATCTCTCCTGTGGGCAATACCAAATGCGTTTTTGAAATTGTGTTTGTCTTTAAAAAATTATATAATAAAGTTGTACATTATGAAATAAAGTGTCATATTAAGAAAACAGTTATATCTTTCACGATCTACAGAAACGTCAAATTTTATTATTTTTCAAATAATTGAGACGTTCGTGTTTTAATCAGTTCTCAGAATTATAAGCTCTTAGCCATATTTCACACTCGGGTCCTGTTTAACAACTTCTTCAACTCTTTAGGTAACTTTACGACATTTGAAGTAATTTTTTCAATCCCTCAGGCTTTGTTCATAGATCGTTTCCATTGTTATTAGAACAATATGAACACTGCCTTGTGGGACTCTAGACTCCCCGAGCATTGTCCAGCAATTAAATCCCATCTATATGTTTTAATACCTACATTGACATTTGACAAGTTTATAAAGGAAAATTATGTTTTTTATTATTATGTTATTAAAGCACGCGGCTTTTGTTCTCCCATGTTTTATCATAGATAAGTTACTTAGTCTTTTTAAAGACTGCTTTATTTCAATAACACCAAGGTGTCAAGCACACAGATACGTCGCAATATCAACTTTGAATATAATATTCAGCAAAGCTGATATGAAGACTCGAGAATTAATAAGAAAAATGGCTAGTTATGATAGTTCAATTTGCCCTAATTTTCTCATCTTGCAAAACCATTCCTCATTAGAAAGCATTTGGAATTACCATTTTATCCAGGATGAGGCGGACGTCACTTTCCATATAAGATCTGTTGGAATGGTTCTAATATTGACATATTTATTATGCAGCGTATGTTTCAATTTATGAAAATGTGCTAATGATTTGCTGGACTCATTCTGTCAACCCACCTTAGTCACGAACAATCGATTCATTATTTAAGCAACAATTTTTGGAATGGGCATCATATATTGGGACATATTTAGTAGTGGAGGGTTAAAGTCTACACCGAGCCGATTCTCGGAATCGCTGGTACAGGCATCAGAATTTCTTCCATTGAGGAGGATTCGAACTCAAAGCACATGCTCGCTTAGCAGATGACAATCGTACTTACTACAGATTGAGCTATTCCACTACCACAATTCGTCTGAACATGGAAAAATGTTGTCAAAACACGGGCAGCGAATATAGTCTCGTGAGGAAATTACATCAAGCATCATTTACCTCCTAGATCCGTAACCAAACTGGATCCTTCCTTAATATCTTGGTTACTATGAATCATTGGGTGTGGGGGCAAACCGTCACTGTTAGTACATGTATATATGAGACTGAAAATCATTGGTATATGACCAACTGGATGCCTTTAATACATTATACTGAATATACTCTTGTATAAAACATTTTGCAATTGGTTTTAATATAATCTTCTATAAATTCTGAGATGTGCCTTGTGATCGCGCCACGTTGTGATTGATTGTAGTTAAAGGGGAATAATTCATTAATTATATCAAGATTTTCATACCACAATTCACCATCTTAGATATTGATATTCATTGTATTCGTCAGCTAAACGGTACGAAGAGTAAACGTTTTATTCTGCTGAAGATGTCTCTAAATTGTGGTGTTTTGAAGGTTAGCAAGTTTCAAAAATTTGTTTTTAAACCGGCAGATATAATTAGGTATAACTTCATGTCTGTTATATCATCACACATATTGATATGGACAGTTTTCAACCATTATTGTAAATTAATACGTGTATACATATTTTTTTTAAAACGAAGATCGAGTTCAAATTTCTGCTCTTGCTCTGCTAATTAATTTAGTGGTGCCGAGCCTTGAGTGACTTATGCCCCAATGAAAGCGTTTAGTTTAGTGACACAGGCCCATCTGAGACGAAACTGCTATTCTCCGGGTTTTAGTTTTTACCCGTAAGTTATGCAATTGTTTATTTTTTCTCATCATTAATTTGGACCCTTGGCAATATAATACAAGCTGTATTTCAGTTTTATGGTCCGACTTTCTCCCCGTACTATATGTCGAATAACGTAATCTACAACCTATCAACAAGGGAGTTTATATCAAAGAAGCCGACAAACTAAAAAAAACTTATAGTGATAATTCTAGTTGAAATACTACAGGGGGTAACGTACTTGTTTCGTTCAAGCTATTGTGTTCGTGTGGAATATCACACTGATATGCATGATTATCACACTCACGCGATATCATTATCTCCCTACTTGAATGCTCGATGATCGTATGGTTCTCTGCCATCATATATAATGTTTATCACCGAATTATCGGTACTAAAATAGGTGTTACAAACGATAAAATTTCCTGGCGTTGCCCGTCTTCATTTGCCTACATGGTACAGAAAAGTAAGACGTAAAACTCCATTTCGATTTCCAATCATGAATGCACTAATGATACAAGTCATCACTTATACTATTTACTGTCAAAGTTAAAATATGTCGTTTCATCACATGATGGTCCCAAATTGTTGCACAATATTTATGCACCTGATTTGCTGCAACCTTATCGATCCCTATATGCATCTAGATGCATTCCTCTTACGAGGTCTTCGGTCATCTTAGATTTGAAATTCTGTATTATTTCGACTGCTGACTTATTTACATAATGGAATTAAGGGAAGTAACTCTTGTCGTGATTATAATTCATATTTTGTCGACTTCGAGTGGAGAAAATTGACACATTTGTCTTGTTGATTTGAGCACGAGATAATTTAATCAAAACATAAAAAAGTTTTGTTTATTGGGTTCTATCAAAGCCCTATATACATGTAGGGACCACGGCTTTGGGTTCTTAGTAGTCATAAAAGTAATTTCTAATCTCTAAATGAGTCATCTTCACTCATAATTCCAGTTAACCTAGCTAATCCGGAAAGATCAAAACCAAGAGGTTCGACCAAGGACTAGTTGGCAAAAAGGATCTTATGTGAACCGATGTTGTTATCGTCGTAAAATATGTAGAGAATTCCACATAGTTTGAAAACTTACAGATTTTGATTTGATTGCTTGTGTTTTTTGAAGTCCTTGGGGTCTAATTAGTAGGAAAAGATCAAAACTTGAGCCAAAAGTTTGTATTTGAAAAAGTTGTCTATAGGCCATATTTGCCTCTATGGCCAATATGCATTAAAAATGTAAAAAATTATTTTCTATTCTATGGCAGATATTTGAGTTCTGTTTTTTCTGACATGTCCAGATAGTCCATGTGAATATTGGTGCAAAATTTCAGCATTGTATAGGACGTAACCAAAATTGTTTCAGTGTGATCCAAAATTGCACTGAAAAATGATGGTAATGGTTGACAATATTAATTATTAAAACTAATAACTTGTATTAAGTCTACCGTTAACAAGGAAAACATTTAGGTAATCTGATGCACATCTAACGCAGATAATTAAGAATAAAAACGGATATTCATGTACAGGAATAAATTAGAAGGCTTAAATTTTCATCATGAACACATTGTTGGTACAACCACCTCTTCCGCACAACATTACTTTGGAAAATCGTGTAAAAGAAAATAAAAAAATGTCTGTTTAATCAAATCACAATCCCAAAATGTTTGTTCAACTCTTTTACTTCAAGTTTCATAACGATCGAGTAGTTGCAAATTCTTGTTCTGAGAACGTGTGACTGATTTATTTCAGTACCGAATTAAGGGAAGTAACTCTTGCGCATAATTTCTAGAAATTTCTAGTTTTGTTTATTGTATTTTTCTCTTATAACTTTTTATTATTTTTTTTATAATGAGAATAAATTGTCATCGTCCTGTCCATTTGTCGGTCCGTCCACAATTTGCATGTGAACATAATAGAGACTTCAGTTTTTATCTGATTTTAATAAAATATATCGAGCAAAAGTCATCCAATTGAAGCCTACCAGGTTTATTATCCGATGCCATGATGACAACGTCTCTAAACGTTGATGGAAAATTCTGCCTTGTCGAAAAGCGCGAGATTTTATCGTCCACTGCGATACAATAATTGACGCCTTAATCGATATGTCACACAATATGTTAAATTGAATAGTTGCAAAACAAAATAATTGATATCAAATGTATTCATAGTAAGAGCCATAGTATTTTCCAACTAGACGCTATTTTTGTAATAATGCATATCATGAAAAAGGTGAGTGTTTACTAAATTAGAAATATTTACTTAGATTTCTCATGTAAACTATTTTTGGTGCAAATTTGATACGCTTTTGTTTTAGGCCAGTGTCTTAGTATGAAAACGGCATCGGTAGTAAGAATATTCCGAAAGGCCACTTAGTGGCGGATTGATTCTGTCCACAACCATAGTCGCTAAAACTTTGTTTTTTTAATTGCAGAAAATTATTACTATTCTGGTATGTACTGTTTTTGTCACTCTAATTACTCATCACTATTTCAATTATAAGAGCCACTCTGTGTTGAAAAGTAACACCTCTAATTTGATCCAGTTTCGTAACACTGAGGGGAATATTGAAGACGTGACCTCTGCCCGTAGAACCCAAGTCCAATATAAATATGAACGAAAGCTAGAAAGGGACAGTAGAAAAGGTTATATGATATATACATGCAATAGAATGTGTGGTGGTTGGGCAGATCGTCTCAAAGGGATTGTTACTGCTTACATTTTAGCAAATATAACTCATCGTAATTTTGGTATAAAAATAACGAACCTCCCATGTGAACTTACCAACGCTGTAATTCCAAATTATATTAACTGGAATTTAAATCTAACAGATAAGCAGATGTCGGAAATGCCAAAAATTTCATACAATAAAATAGACTCCGATGATTTTCTTAAAAATGTGCCATACATAGATTTTCGAAAAGAATTCCCAGCTCATAAAAGAATTATTCAATTTACTGCTAATTTAGATTACATTGATCAATTCAAACAAAATAAATTTCACGAAAAAGATCTGATTTGGCTCAGAAATATGTCAAGTCATCAGGCTTATGCTAAAATATCGAATGTTTTACTAAGACTCTCCCCTGAGAGTCAAAATAGACTAGATGAATTCATGAACCGAGCGAAACCTGACGAACAAACAAAACTTATCTGTGCCCATATACGAAGAGGGAAAAGTGCAACCATTCCATCCGATCCTGTTCGCGCTAATGATAAAGATGTTGTAAATGCATGGGAATTTTTAAGTGCTTATAATGATTCTTCCATTTATAAACTCTTTATTGCAACCGATTCAGATGCCGTAAACAGGGAAGCTAAGATACGTTTTTCAAAACAAATTGTTGAAAATGCGGGAAACATCATTCATGTCGACAGGAAGAATCAAGAACACAGAGTAGAAACTTGTGACGATTTTCGTAAGGTTATTACAGATCAACAAATTTTATCTCGATGTGACGTTCTTTTGATAAGCCATAGCGGTTTTAGTCGATATGCAGCCTACATGAGAAATACGGACGAGGGCCTGTACTGTATCTTGAGAGACCACAGTGGAATCAAGAAGTGCAAACAAAGCTACTTAAAAAATATCTACGGTGTTACTTTGTGATAACATATAACAAGTGATACTTATATTTTTGTTATTCATCGATTTAGTAGGGTTTCCCAATTTTTATTCCTTCGGTGCTCGGAGTGGTGCTTCGGCCGACAACTCCACTCTTCAATTTTTTCGGACAAACTACCCTGCACCACACTTTAACTTTCCTTACTCACTGATTCCACAACGAGATGTGGAAAGTTTTAATCAATGGTATTATTATCAATGTTGTATAAACCTTTTCGCGGCTATCAGCCGACCTGAATTGAATTTTCGAAATAGTTGATTTGGTTTTACTCACGAAAAAGAGGATAAAGAGTATCTTCTGATAATGAAATCCACATTGACGGTGATATATATTTATACGTCAAAATATAGGTAAGGCGTTAATGAGTCAAACAATTTCAATATTGTAAAAATATGTTAAGGATAATTTATTTATTTATTGTTAAAAAAAGGGACAGCATGGGCATTAATAATCCAGGGAAAAATGCTAAAATGATGAATTATTGAAACTTTCACCATAGATGTCTACACTAAATTCTATTCATAAAATTCATTCATGGCTTCTTATTGAAAGGTTATAGAAGAAATAACTGAAGGTGTTATTTTTTACGTTGGTGATGTTTGCCGTAATAACGGTCCAGAATTGAAAAAAAAATGTTCGCACGCTTTGGTCCTTTTTCAGTAAGTTTTGCCCTCTGTGAACAAATAGTTAAAGTGTAAAAAAGGTATATGGCAATATAAAACGATATTATTGATATCGTAATGAACACCAACAGGTGTATAATAATATAAACTTTTATTGAAAAACTGATATTGATGTATACATCAAATTCTTGGACCATTTATTCCTGTACTATGTAAAATTTTCGCTATTATGATACCAGCTATTAAAACACAATGAAAAGTTATGTTTCATTTGTTATCAACAAAAAACGGTTTGTGAGAGTTTTCATTATAATTTTGACATTGTCTTCAATATATAATGTATATACGAGTATTCCTGATGAAGCAGATCATATAAAGAGAAAACATATCATTGTGTCAGATGTGGGAAGACCGAAAACGACAAGTTCTAATCTGACGTCCGTTCGTGTACTGAAGGTTGTTACAGAAAAACCAACCTCTACCTTCCGATACACTACCTACAGAACACCAAAACCAGTTTTGCAGACAAGTGCTTTTCGATATCGTCCAGCATCATTAAGCAATGTTTCAAATCCGCTGTATCGTAATATTTCGAATTATTTTCACCTTTCCCGTTCCGATCACCGAGATCCATTGTTGAACCTCCATCAATTTAAATATCTCATCAACGCGGATATGTGCGAACAGAATTTATTTGTCTTAGCTTTCGTTCACAGTTCTCCAAACAATGTGAAAGAACGCAATGAGATCCGATCAACTTGGGGTGGAGACAAAAGAGCGCATTGTAGGACCGTATTCCTGTTAGGAGATCCCCAGAACGATCAAATTCAACTGGCTATTACTGAAGAAGCCAGGAAATATAAAGATATTGTACAAGGTGATTTTAAGGACTCGTATAGGAACCTCACATATAAACATATCATGGGCTTGTCGTGGACTACACGTAACTGCCCTAACGTGAGATATATTTTGAAAACGGATGATGACACAATGGTTAATGTTTTCAATATGATGGAGTATCTAAGTAAAGCAAATCCACTGAAGAACTTTTTGTACTGCAGGGTTTTTCCAAAAAGTAGACCTTTTAGGTCCATTAATAAATGGCGAGTAAACTTTACAGAATATCCATTTTCTTTTTATCCAAGCTATTGTGCGGGATTTGCTTATCTTATGACACCAGACGTTGCTGTACAGTTCTTGAAAGTTTCGAAATATGTCAAATTTTACTGGATAGATGATGTTTTTATAACAGGAATTTTGAATATTGTCGCCCAAGTTCCATTTACCAGTTTAGCAAAGACACATGGTTATTCCACTATGCTAAATGTACATTCAGGAGTGACTGTCAAGAATTTAATGTTTATAGTTGTCAAAGATCCACCGGGACGTAAATTCTGGTACTCTACTTGGCAAGCTATATCAAAATATGGTTGATAGTTGGGAAGTGGGTCATTTTCGTTTATGTACAAAAAAAAAAAAAAAAAAAAAAAAAAAGAAAGTGGTTAAATTTGTACCCTTGATTTTCAAGGCAATCAAGGATCCCGCAAAACAAGATTTGCTTTATAGCCATCATTGTTTAAGGAATGTAATATATCTTTTTTAATTCGTTATTTATTTTGCCTGTTCTATTTGCTGAGATGTTATTCAAATACTGTAATGCTTATAAATTTTTATATAAAAATTTAAACTAAATTTTACGATTTTCTTCAAATACAACTTATTAAAAGATACGGCTCTGATTCTTCTGAGTTCTTCAACATTACAGGGTCAGGCGCAATATTTTTTACCAATCGTACGGGAATGTATTTTATGTTTAGCTACGTGGGTCCGGAATAATCCGCATTGTAATGTTAAAATGACGACTCGTCAATTTAAGATACTTTGTGATATATATATAAAGGACATAAATAGAAATAGTAAGTAAAAATCCTTCTTTGGAGTATTTTTAAAGGAACTATGTGATTTTCGTACATTTCTAGTACTTCTGAAGACAATTAACGTATATTCAAGACTAAAATCAACCCTCTAAAATGCCACACTTATTTCTTTAAAATGAAATACAGTCCATGGCTTGACTGCTTCAAAATAATTGATCTTAGGACTTTATGTAAGTTTCCGATAGGCTCTGGTATGATCTCATGCTCAACTATAAGCAATATTTAAAAAAAATTGATACCAAGATTATTTGGCGAAACATCGTTTTTTACTAGTCATATAAAGACCGGGCCCATCCGACAGAATATTTTCAAATTTTGATGTTTGTATAAATGTACATGTGATCCCTGTCAATTTTAATGCTGGGCTTTGTGCAAAAAGTAAGGGTTTGATCATATCTTATTCTTGTGCTTCGATGTAGACTTTTCTGTAGTTTTTTTGCCATGTGAGCGTATGCCACATTTTTGGCTGTTATCTTGTTGAGCATATGTTACATGGAAAACAAATAAAATCAATTTAAGGTATCAATAATGGAAATTCTAAAACATTATTCAAGTAACTTGACGTCATCAAACACTTATTTTTGTGAAATTGAAGGAAACACAAACGTCTGATATCCACATTACAATTTTATAAAACCTCTTTACAATCCCTTTATAATGAGGACAAATGTCCAGATTAAGATTTCAAATACAATCAAATTTCGACGCGTTTTTTTTTTTATTCTTTTTAGTTTTTTAGTCAAGGGCAATGACTCAAAAAATCGTTCATCGAAAGATCCTCAAATTCGAACTTGTCTAAGATCTCATTAATATAATAATCAATAACCAAATTTCATTCAAATCAGATAAAAAATGATGTCTCTATTGCGTTCACAAGCCAATTGTGGACCGACGGACGGACAGGGGCGACGACAATATACGACCACGTTTTAATGTGGACGTATAAAAAGGAAGTCGAACTTAATTTATTTCCGTCGAAGAAAGATATAGACTAGTTTAATGATTAGTGTCAATGTTATTCAACGATGACAGAGAAATAATATCTTACCGAAAAAGAAATACGATTTTATCGAGTCCAAAATCGATGTATTTATATCAATTTTCATATTAAACTTTAAAGACATTGAACACGTAGTGGATATCGGTTATAAATCATGTAACGTGAACGTGAAATACGAATGAATATTTAGCATAGTGTTTTTAGAATAGGTCTTTTGAATGAGCCCGTTCATTTGTGGTATTTTTTTCTACATCATGGAAATCTTTCGCTCAGTTGTACTCCGTCTGAAATATGTACTAAGTCTGAAAAAGTTGGTGAAATATTTAATCATAATTGCGATGGTATCTTTATTATACTTTATCCTGTCACCCAATTCCGCTATTAAAAATCAATTTATGAAACAGAGAGACAGTATTTCAACGTTTTTATCTGCACCTAAGAAAATTAACCTAATGTCAATTGTGGAACACACAACAGGTGATCACCACACCACTTACAGACCGTCAAATATAGCTTCGCTGCCGCGTAAAGTAATCAAAAATGCTTATCAATACCCAACAACCGAGAGAAGTGTCACGGACAAATTGCATCGCAATATTTCCATGTCTTTTCAACTTGACAAATCCGACCATCTCGACCAGTGGTTGAACCTCCATCAATTTAAATATTCCATCAACGCGGATATGTGCAAACAGAATTTATTTATCTTAGCTTTCGTTCACAGTTCTCCAAACAATGTGAAAGAACGCAACCAGATCCGATTAACGTGGGGTGGAGACAAAACCTTCAATGGAAAAGATTTTAGGACTGTGTTTATGTTAGGAGATCCACTGAACAGCACAATTCAACGGATTATAGTTGAAGAAGCCAGGAAATATAAAGATATTGTACAAGGTGATTTTAAGGACTCGTATAGGAACCTCACATATAAACACATCATGGGCTTGTCGTGGACTATTCGTAACTGCCCTAACGTGAGATATATTTTGAAAACGGATGATGACACAATGGTTAACGTTTTCAATATGATGGAGTATTTGAATTTTACTGAGCAAAACAAAAACTTTCTGTACTGTTCGATTTTCACGGTGCAAACTCCGTTTCGATTTTTTACTAAATGGCTTGTTTCCATATTGGAATATCCATTTGCAAAATACCCCTACTACTGTCAAGGATTTGCTTACTTAATGACACCAGATGTGGCTGAAAAGCTTTTAAATGCTTCAGAATGCGCTAAAATGTTTTGGATAGACGACGTATATGTGACTGGCATATTGAATGTTTACGCTAATGTACCATTTCTGCAGATGACTTCAAATCATTCATTTACTATTATGAAGAAAGAAAACCTTGGGGCGTCTGTCAAGAATGTAATGTTTATACTTTCTAGGAAGAAAAGAATGCGAGAGTCATGGAATACTGCTTGGAATTCTATATTAAAATATTCCAGAGGGTAGGAGCGTCTGTTTGAATAATACGCTTGTTTTTTCTTCCGTTGCAAAATATCTGATAATTAGTATATGACATTTAGTACATTTCGATCGTTTGATAAAATCTCTTGCATCCGACAGGTCATTCTAGATCGGCGCTAGTGGTCGTCAATGTACAACAGCAGCGGTGGTATTCTTGAAATAATGTAAGTGATGAATATATACATATGAAAGTAAAAGGGTATGGTGCATTGTTCGGATTGTTTTTTATATAACTAGAACGATGTAGGATTGGAATATCAAATTATTAGATGCGTTAATTAGATGTCCTTATCCTTACTAGATATTAGATGCAGATTTGAGATGTATACCAAGATGTAACATGGCTGTTGAACACAGTCGTCTACAGATTGCAACAACAACATTTTTTTTCTCTTTTAATATTTCTATTTATTTATATAATAATAACGAAAGATTTTCACAAGGTGCAAGTTAGGGATAATTGTGTAATTTTTTTAAGGATTTTATTTAGAATCTGTGGCACTCGATTATAAAACGTTTTCGGTTTTCTTCTGAACTGGTTGGGCCTTAAGTATTGTAGTCTTGTCTACAAATCAGAGTTCCGTCCCTTACCTTATGAATATCTTGTAAAGGATTGCTATATGTTTTTAAATACCGGTGTCCTGTGTACACTGTTTAATATAAAGAGATCCCATGGATGTACATATATCGATAACACTTAAAAAGACATTCCGCCTTTTTAGGATTCATTTTTGTTTGTTCAAACTTGTGAAAACTATGAGTCCCTTAAAGTTATTTGAAAGTTTTAACTGAAAACATCCATTACAAGCCGTTAATATTTCAACACCAAATCTATTCAAAAACATTACCTAAGTCTACATCAATTTAATGTTTGTTATGCTTTTTGGAAGCTGTTTAAAAAAAGACTACTGTAGGCCTACAGGTTTAATTAATTAAACGCCTATATTTAGAGAAAGATGTCTCCTACTTATTCTTAAAGATTTAACTAATAATATCGAGCCACTGTAAAGCCTAAACTAGGTCAAACTGTTTTAATTAACAATTAGTACTCTCCGTTTTTAATTATTCCTTTTAAAAAAACTGCTCGATCGAGTAGATACATAGATAAAAATAGCATTCTTTATTAATATTTTCAGTAGTAATTTACGAGGTTTTTGATAATGAAATGTTTTACAAAAAAGCGGAATGACCCTTTTAATTCTAGTTTCGCGTTATACTTCCGGTGTCACTGAAATACAATGGAATTGCTCATGTTGAAAATACAATTCAAGCGTAATGGACCAAGGAAATGAATATTGTGTAATTATTAAAGGATATATATAATACTTTAGATTTATGAAATCTAAAGTCAGATAGTGTTATACAGTGAATTTAAAGAATAAAATTATATTACTTGATTGTTATTTGTATCTGTTTGAAATACAGTAGTAGTAGTAATAGTTTATTTACGTGTCACACATATGTGTAAGATACTACGACTTATGCTTAAGCCACGTCTTAACCTTCAATATGGACTGACTTTAATAACAAATATATCATCGCCCATACTCATGTCATTGAGATTTTTTACAATAATTGATCTTCATGAATTACATCTAGATTTATATACAGTATTTATATTAACTAAGAACAAATTTTCAGAATTGGCAGATATTCAGTTTAAGGAGGATACAAGTGTCATGTTGATCCATTTGGCCCGTGTTACAAATAGATGCAGTTTGGAGGGGTTGACATCCATGGGATAAACTGAGGCCCATTGAGCTACAGGCTGTGCACGTTTAGGATCCCTCAACAGTTGGAAATCATATTTAGGCTAATCCCGCTGCCATGACTATTATTCAGTCATTGCACAATGTATGACATTACAGCCAAAATAAAAATAGGACTTAAAATTTCTTTATAGAATTAGCTCCCTTTGATTACTCTTTGTTATCCTCACTGTTTACTATTCAGAACTGAGATCCTTGAAGGACAAAGATAATCTTTAACAACTTTAATGGCCATCAGTCTCTGAAGCTCTTCGATAACAAGGTAATTGGAAAAACTGTTTTCGGCCAGCATAAGCTTGGTATCTAGTATGCCTCTACAATAATTCCTTTGTAAACAGCTACAGGACAGTTAAAAGTGTTGGAGCTCTTGAAATGAACTGTTATTTGAAAGATAATACGGATTAATACTTCATCAAAGGCTATGAATGTATGTCGAATATCTTGATCGCAAATTTCTAGGCTCGTGCAAGTGCTGTTTCTCATCCTTTTATCTAGTAACATAACAACGTTTCTTACAATCGAGATATTTTGTAGGAAAACACAAACAATATTTCATTTCAAATTTTATTTCAAAACAACTTTGTCAACAAATTGTTAAACAAGAAAGAACTATATATACAATGAAGTGATCAAATGTTAATTACAATGAAAAACGACAATTTCTTCAACACCTTGAAGTCATACCTTCATACATAACCATACTAAATAAATTTATGAAAAATGAACGTGTCAAGGAGACCTATGCATCCTGCAAATTTATCATGTAAGAAATATACTATGAATAAATGTTACGTCATACATTACAACTTTGCATAATTCATTTACCGAGACACACAATAATCATCCATGATCAAATATAATGTCACCCTGATGTCATGATCTAACGAAAAGTTCAATGTAAAGCTTGCCTACTTGACTATACAGAGTTAACTGGTGAGCTCCTTCATTTGACAGAGGGCTTTGAAGTATTTCGTTGAATACGTTATGGGACAAATTTGTAATTTTGGTTGAAGATAGATGTTTTATATTTGCCCGGATTGATAATACTACAGATTCATGATTTTCTCGATATCCATATTCTTTTGATTAATTTAATTAGCACGATGCAGTGCATGGAATTATATTGTCTTACTGAGCCAGCCAGTTTGATAATGGTTTTCAATATGTATCACAACCAAAACAGATCTAATAACTAAGATCTTAAAATTCAGTTACTTATTGTTCATATCACAGCAAAATAGTCTACAGAAATTTGCCCAATCTTTCGATCTCATCAATAAAGAAGTCCATGTCTTCATAAGTTGTGGCAGAGTTCTGCAGAACAAGACGGAAAAAGTTTACGAGATCCTTTTGAGGTTGATAAGTGATCATCATAGTGCCATCACGAATCATGCCTTCTTTAACTTTGGGTGCAACAGTGTGAAGTCGATTCCAAAATTCCTCATCCTCTGGCATGTTTCGCAGAGATGGTGGCACATACCAGAAACACACGTTGGTACAATCTGGTTCATTCACCACCATTCTAAAACCTTCACGTTGTTTCAACTTTTCAACAATATATCTGGTGTTGTCAAACAGTTTATCGATATGTTGTTCAAAACCTTCTGATCCCTGGAAAACACAAATTAGAATATATAAGACCGATGACTTTTTCTTAAGCACATGAGTTACAAGCAGAAACATTTGCCACCCTTTTCTAAACGCAATCTTTTGCTATTCACAAGCTTAGAGCAGATTTACTCGACACATTGTGGAATTTGCCTGTAGACCTGTGTAACAACTACTTCAAATTGGGTTTATAGTAAACGGTGCTTATTATTATCAATACTCAAACTAAAATGTAAAATTGAACATACCTTAGCTTTCCACATTAACCAAAATTTGAGAACATCAACTTTACGTCCGCACTGGAAGGTCTTGTCACCGGTATCATAACTAGTATCGTAGAACTTGTCTTTTTGGAATAGATACTTGGCATCAGCTCTGTGACATTGTTGAAGGATGTTAACGTGTTTAGTTAGGAAGCATGAACATTGTTGAGGAACACCAAGTAATTTGTGTGGATTCCATGTCACAGAGTCGGCTCTATCAACACCTTTCATCATGTCTCTGTGTTTCTTAGACATCAACACTCCTCCACCCCAGGCACCATCAACGTGATACCAAAGTCCGTATTTCTGAGCGACATCTGCCATTTTGTCAATGGGATCGAAGGCTCCAAATACAGTTGTTCCAGCAGTGGCGACTATCATAAATGGAGTACAACCCTGAAAGGATAAAAACAAAACACTCTTAAAAGAAAGTTAATATAAGGTTATGAAGAATCAATCTTTGAGTGAAATCTTTAGTAGAGAAAGTTATCAGTATCCTTCTGTCAACATTGACATTGTCAGCAGCCGTTGATACAACAGTCAAATCGTTATGTAAATAATATCTTGTTGGAAACTTACCTCATCGATTGTTTCTTGGATCTGTCTTTCGAGATCTTCTGGAATAATTTTACCGAGTTCATCAGTTTTGACCAATTTGACATTGTCATCTCCGAATCCTAATAGATAACCTGCCTTCTTTATGGAGTAATGAGCCAGTTCAGAAGTATATATCACTAGTGGAGGTAGACCAAACATGCCAGTTTTCTTGGTTTGAGGGAACATGAAGTGCCTAGCACAGTTGACAGCCATGATATTGGAGAGGGAACCACCTGGACAGAAGATACCATTACCCTCTGTATAACCAATACATGTTCTCATCGTTTTCAATACAGTTTCCTCCATCAGAGTAAAAACTGGTGCCGTCTCGTATGTATATTGACTAGTATTCAAAGCATCGGTGACGATCTGTCCTGCTAAACCATAGGGATCAAGACTAGAAAAAAGTTGATTGACAAATCGAGGATGACCAGTTTTGACGCTGTACTTGATGATGTCTTGAAGACGCATCAACAGCTTTTCATGAGTCTCTCCCACTGCGGTTGGGTCAAGGTCCATCAATTCTCTTAATTCTTCAGGAGCTTTCCATTCCACGACCTTCTGACTCCTATCGCCAGCCTTTTGGACAATTTCCTTCATGATCAAATCGAATGTGTCACTGAGGAAATCATCGTGATGAACCTGAGGAATAGTTAAGAACTTGGCTTTGGTTGACTTTCTACGACTATTCACACGTTGAGAATGTTGCAGTTGTGTGGTGCAAGTTTCTACGTTTGATTCATCGGGATCCGACTCATCAGTGTTGGCAGAAGAATCCTGTAAGCTGAGGGCACTGTCTTCAGACTCGCTATCAACATCAATCATGACCTTGCTAACTTGTTTGGATTTCAGAGACTTGCCTTCAAGTAGGCGTTGTTTTAATTCGTTGAATTGCTCCTTTGTAGCCTCGTCTGTAAAATATAAGAAATGCAATATAAAAGCCTGGAATAAGGGAGTTAAAGAGTTTTCTTTTGTCTGCTTATTCAGAAGGAAAACCTGGTGCAGTTTTTATAATGACATTATTATATACGAATCTTGTCTAGCCTGTAATATATCGGTGTCATATGGTACAACAATTATCTTGTTACTCGCTAATTTACTAGCCACGACAGACGTTGAACTAACTGATGTTAGATACAACCAATCGATAACAATATTGATTTGCCACGACTGTGTGAATCATGTCTTGAATCCTACGCTATATTATAATCAAAATGTAGGAATTAACCTTGGTTTCTGGAACTTTCGACAAGACATTAAGTATATGAGTGAAATGATTTCCCACACATATATCTGTGGCCATTGGAGAGAAAACAATGTTTTCTACGGTTGAAGCTCTTAAGAGTTGTAAATCCTATATTTTCTCTTTTTTAATGTAGGGCTTTAGTTCTATGGGATTGGTCTATTTCAGAACTGAATTACTGTTCACATTAGTAATCTAGGTAATTGTTCACTAGTAGAAATGTCTATCCTAGTAACAATTACGTATTATTTTCTCAAGGTCGTCGATCGTCTGACGTCATGCATTAAAGGTCACTCCATTCATGCGGGGAAAAATCCCGAAACACCGGCCGGCAATATCAGCTGATTTGAGTCTCTTATTTCAAGACATAAATTAATCAGAATATAATTGATCATGTCATACCTAAAAACCGAGACAAAAATAATCTTATTCTCGCTCATGTGATTACGAAATTTTATCCAGTCCTCTAACTAAATTAGGACTATATATTAAGACCTGAAAAACGAGACTGCTATTCTGTAGCACGCGCATAGAATAGTGAAAAAAGTCATAAATTATAACGTGGTATAACGGAGAATTACCGGCTCTCATATTTGGCACAGTGTTACAAGGTCACATGAAGACCACGTGTTCCTTACTTAGAATAAAATTTTATCTTTGTATGTGGATATTCGTTTTGAAGTATATACATTGTCTGGAAAAGAACATCAAAACAAACCAGTGATTTAGATTTTTTCGAAAATTGAAATCAAAATTGTTCAAATCGTTTAAATATCTATCGAGTCTACATTATGGTCTACAAATTCGACAATTCAAATATTTGCACTTTATGAAGTGTACAGCAAATGAGCAACCCTTTCACATTTTAATTTAATAAACCTCTAAATTAAATAATTTCCTATATCACCGAGTACCTTATAATACAGAGACAATAAGACAGTCCAATTTGAATTATCAATATATGCAAAATTGTTAACTTGTTTTTAAAGAATGTGAAGAAAATCGTTAAAGGTAAAGGTCATAATATAAAATTCAAATTCGCTAAAATTGGTTTCGTTTTATAAGGAAAAAGTTTCAATATTCATAATTATGTAAATTGTTTAATGAGTGGAATATGAATGAAAAATGGTGAAAATCAAAAAACGTCCCTACCGTTAATAGACATATTATCAAATCGTTTTGTTTCCATTTTTGAAATTCTGCGTCCACAGATCCTGCTTTAGATAATTTTTCAAGAGTAAAGCCTATTTCTCTTTCCATCGAGAAGAATGAAAATGGTGAGGATGACCACCGGTTTATATCAGCTGAGATTCTTCTGTATTTTTCCAACCTGAAAATTTCCACGATTCTGTAAATTTCCAGTTTGGATCGATGTCTATTGGATAAGAGTTTTCTGGTAATACTCGAGGTCAAGGCCGTTAATATTCTGCCTTCGGTAGTAAATTACCATGACGTCATCCTGCACGCGCTTTATACCGGTTTACTGTCAGATTATACCGGTTCATGTTTATGACTAGAAATGGGCGGAGTTTAACGGCTTATGAATAATGATTAGGTATTTGTACAATTGATCTAAACTACTACGCATATTCATATTTTTTCCATTCATTCATTAAAGGGGTCACTAAAGGGGAAAACTTTGAACACTTTTTGTCTGTGGTGTATTTAACGGATCAATATCATGAAAAAATGTCGGTTAGTTAAATACGTCATTGCTGTAGAGTGAGCAAAATTTTTTACTACGTGCTGTAAGTTGGCTAAAAGACTTCATTGAAGTTCCATTCCATAATTTACGCAGATTTGAAAATAGACACAGGCCATTCATGAATCAATATTAATAATAATAAAATTAAAAGTATAAATAAGAATTTCTGAACCAGTCAGCCGCGATTTGTAAAACATAATTCAGTATCATTTATACGCGCACAGAATTTGCAACAAAAAGTTAAAAAGTACATCTGTTAACAACTTTAATGCAAGACATGGTTTATTAAAATGATTTAAAAGAGCTTTTTGAGGTTTTGATTCTATCGTCAATAACATTTGGTATTTTTGGTGTCTTAATCTGGTAGAGGGTTTTTTTTGGAATTAAAAGAACCCCCAGATGTCGGTGTGGTGAGAAGCTTTAATGTGTGCATGTAAAAGCTTGAAAAGCCCATTAATGGGTTTGTACTATACAATCTATTGGTTATTTTGCTGCCACCATAGATTTGAATGTTACGAGCCCATTGAACCTGGACTATACCGACTGTCATCTTGTAAAAAGTCACCATAAAGTTTAAAGGTTATCACAGAAATTTCACTTTAACGATAACACTTCTTAATCTCTTTATCAACAATATTTTTTGTTTTGTCACGATGACTCTGGAGTCTGTTATCGTCCAAATTTAAACCCAAATGTCTAAAAATAACTAGCTTTAACTCTTTGATGATCAAAAATTCCCAATTTGTCAGCAGATGTATTTATGCAGGATTGTACTGCAAGTGCACAAAGGGGACCACTTACTTAACTTCAAGGCTTTTAGTTACAATATATTTGCCCGAATACATCAAATTTGATATATTCAGCTTAGTTCCACTATGGTTTGCATTCTGGTTTGTTTGGACAATAGTGGGATATTCGACAACTTGCTAGCACTATATTCACTGTCATTAATTATTGAAATACAAAACAATAAATATTATTTCGTTTGGATTAACCTTACAAAACGCCTACTTTTACTCTTCGATTTGGGTGGAGAGTTCATAGGTTAAAACTGTTGGTATCTGCAGTATTTCTTAGGAACTTAATAAAATTAATACTGGAACTGTTTTGTAATATAATGGCCTTATCCGTCAAAAACAAAGAACAAAATATGATGAATTTTCGGCATCTTGTTGGGACTACAGGACCATATGTTAACTAGATGTACCTTATCATCACTCTGGTACACATTGGGCAAGAAAGCTTTCCTCGTTACAGTTTTTTTATTGGGTAGATTGTATTAGCTGATGGGAATTTATTTTTTTTAGTTTTCAGCGAGGATAGCCACGAACTTGATCAACAGCCAAAAAACCTAAATAATACGCCTACAGAAGGTCGCATGATGGCCACGATGAGACAAGATATCCTTACGATGACTAATAGCAAAACACACTAATTCAACGAACCTTAGCACGTTTTTTCGGCAATGCTTTGGCATGCCAAATATTTTCCGGATTTTTTTTTTAGCGAAGTCTATAAATTTGCCACTTCTGTTTTTTTGACGTCCCGGTTCTGCGAATTTCTGAACAATTTCATTATCAATACACATGTTGCCATGCAACACAAGTTTTTTTTTACTATTACGCTTCGAAATAGACTAGCTAACCTGGGGGCTGATTTCGTATTAATCGTTTTAATATCCCGATAGTAATACCCAATCCAATAGACCACTATCAGCAGAAACTGTAAGTGTAATTTTCAGGAAAGTATTTGACATTTTGTCGATTTGTTGAATTCGTTGATCCACAATGCCCCATTTTATTACGCATTATTTTATATGCTTTTCGTTACGCTCCAAGAGAGCAGTCAGTTTAAAAGAGATACTCTAAGACCAAATGTATCGATTGTGTATAATTATATCTCACCTATCCCCAAACCCTTACCCATTTTACGTTGGTCTATTGATCGGAGAAAGGACATGCCTAACATCGTAATAGACCACAGCTGTCTAGTATTTTCAAGAACACAATATCCTTAGACCCTGACTGATTTAAATTTTGACCTATTAAATCCCATTGATCATAATTATGTTTCTGAATGGAAGTCTCGAGTTCTTGTCTGCCCTATTATCATGTGATAGTTGTTTGTTCATTACAAATTTAACTTAGATAAGAACTATGGTATATAACTAGTGCATAGTATGTACTTTATCAGTACAAATAGTTAAATCTTTTACAGGGGTCAGTCAAGATTTACTCCCAACACCTTTTATTGCGTTGATCTATGGTTTAATGGTTTAAATGGCAAACAGGATATCTTTGAATGATCGATTAAATAATATTTTCTGAATAAACCAAGCGTCTGAAGAAATACAATACATGGGTATTTTTCATATTTTAGTATTTGAGATCCGATCAGCGGTATTTGAGTGAAGAGTTCGCTTATTGAATTTATTTTTATCTATAATCGAATAAAAAAAAATTTATTCAAAAGTCTACGAGCTTTAAACCTCCAAATACGTTTCATTTTTTGGCAAGTGAACACCAGAGAGTGTCATCTTGGCGGTAGTCTTTCACGAAACTGGTCTATTTAGTTGTAATTTTGGTCTTGTGAAAATATAAGTATATGTATCGTCTTTGAATGGCATTTAGCAATTGTGAGTACGATATATAGACACGTCGAAACGTTGTATAAAACTTTAACCAGTGATTGTTGTTCCATAAAGCTGTGTCAATACATGTATATATGTATCGTGTCCATGGTTTCAAACACCCAGCTGTGTGGGCATATGTTATCTTGTATTACATTTTGTATCAATTGACCTTATTAGTCTTGATACTTACATTGAACTAAATACCTTGGCCACGGTTTTATATGTATACTGGTAAACTTTTAAGTTCATTTTGAAGTATTTTTAGCATCGAGAATGTAGATCAGTAGAAAATATTTGCCAAAGGTTAGACGGTCCTAATTTTTACATAAGTTGTTTTTAAAGTGACATAGATATAAATGTTCCAAATTTAAAAATTGTCTTTTGACTATGGGTAAACTGCATACAATATATTTCAATCAAGAAGATTATTCGGGTATAAGGTCTGTGTGGAACGTGAGAGCTTTCGGTTCATTCTAAAGCGCGCTTTTGACATCAGAACTGGGTATACCATACATGCGCTGTAATGCAATTACTTCACTTCAGTGTCCACACAAAATAATGCATTTTGCATCTTAACCACAATACATGCATTTTGAAATGGATTACGCCACATGTGTTACGTAGATTTCCATATAAGATGATCTCTTTAAAAATGACGAGACATCTAAGATCAAGGTGAGATCTCTATCTACACCTGGACTACCTTTTAAAGCTCCAGCTAATAAAAAGAATTGGAGGAAGGGGGGAATGTAATACGTGTATCGGTTAATATAAAATGGGAGAGGTTGGGACAACAAAACTATACGTTTAGATTAAAATGGTTTCAAAATGACAGAAAGCTGCTTTCAAAGAGGAAAAAACATTAATATGCCTGAAATTTCAAACATATGTCAAAATCGGCAATTTACAAACCAGGGGTGCAAAGAAAAAAGCCAATTCACATACACAGTTTAGAACACCAAAATATGTGTACTAAAAAGTGCCATCGATGAAATGCTGAACAATGTAAATTTTTATATTTCGCGTGCCAGTGGAATTTTGGCAGTACACGATTCACTTCTGTATCATGAGTCAATTTGTACAAAAACCTTTCAATTGTTTGGTATCAACGAAGCTCTGACGTCAAGGGGTGGAGTCATGTTCTTTTCCATTCAGATTAGGAGAAATTCCTTCACATAGGTGTTCTGCCTGATCCAGTGACCTTGACATTAATATAGTTACGTTACACTGTACTACCAAAATGTTATCGTATCTGGATAGTAGAAAGTGTTTTTAAATTCGTAAAATTAACCAAGTATATTTTAAGGATCACTTAGGATCATAACTTGGGAAAAATGATGATCTAGAAAAAGTTCTTGATGTTGCAGAGACCTTGGATCCCCAAGCGAATTGACAAGTTAATCCTAGTTTTTGTCGGGATTTTGTTTGTTTACAGCTTTATAGTTCTGGAACATACGTGTTTTATTTTCATAATTACTTTTATCTAATGAGTTTTGTTAACCATGCATTTTTTAAAATTTATATATAAACCAAATAGTTCAAAGTTCAAAACGTGGTTATGTCATAATATTACATGATGTACTCGATGCACATCGTTACCTCGAAGTGTGGGGTTTGCTTCATCATAAAAATGAAACATCAGCACAAATACATCCAAGTAATAATTTCACATGACTGAACATATATATAAAATTCATATTACACAAAATGAAACGGGATAAAAAGTATGTTCTGCTTGGGTTAAGCACGAAAACTTTTTATCATATCGTTTTATAATGTTCCCTTTCTGTCAGATAGCATGGTGCTAAACACTTTAATTCAATACAAAACTTTGGTTTTTAATAAAATGACCAATTATTCTGCAACATATTCTGTCTGTGAACGCTATAAATGTTTCACCTTCACCGATTTAGAAATTATTATCACGAGTATTATTGGGTTTTTTATGTGAATTTTTTGTGCTACACTTATTAAAAGTATGGACAATTTTTGCTCATTTACGTTAAAAAGTGATCCGTCGCAATTCATACTAACGTTTAGACATATGAGGAAACAAGTGGGAAATGGCTTTTGTCACCCAAACCATCATACGTGTATTTTTTGTTTATGATTTCCATAGTATGGATGATACATGCACATAAGTAAAGACTCCCATACATGGTATAGGTTGTCTCCCTTCACATTATTATTTCCGTCTACCCTGAAAAAAAGTAAAGGCGATACGATGGCTTCCATTTTCTATAATTTAGGGAATTTGGGAATTAGTCCTGCAGTTTTTTTTTAATATCAATTGACATTGCATAATTTGACACTGCGGCCTATGTAAACCTTACAGAGGATAAGTATAATCACACATTAATCTTACGTAACAAGTACGAGCTATCTGAATCGTGGAAATTTTCAGGAGTGGTAAAAGAACAACTTAATCATAATATGAAATAACATGTATCTTGTTATGTAACTATCGAGGGCTATCTAAACTATGGAAATTTTGGAGATATCGGAAAACTACGACAATCCTACCGGACATTTGAGGTGACCCCGAGGGTTTAAACAAAGAAAGGTGGGATAGCCTTTGTGACGTAACCAATGTTTTGTTGTAGCCTACACACCCTCATGGCATTGTGTACAAATCGATTTGTTGAAGCGTAAAAATGTACATGTAAACTAAATGTATGAATATTCAAATACAGGCTACATAAATTGCAGATTTAAAATCTAATAAATTATGAAAATCTGTAAGCTAACTAAAGCCTACACTTATACAATGTATTATAAGTATGAATATTCAAATATCTCAATATTACATTTATAAATCTTGTATTCAAAATCTATCGAAGTTAAAAACGGAATAGATTTAAAATTACTACAGACTACATAATATTTATTTTACATTGATAGGAAAAACGATAGAACGACAAAACATATAGCGGTTTACAGTTACAAATCAGTGACACGATCCAATTCTATGTATGTGGTCTGATATTGACGAAACCACAAAATAAAACCACATTATCTCCCATTACTTCTTCAATCACCACTTTGAACAACGTCGTCACTTTAAGGCTTCGTTAAAGACATTCATGTATATATAACACCATGTTATTGGAGGTTTTCACTTTTCTTACTTGCAGTGAATAAGCAATATAAGCGACAGTGGCTCCTTAGAAAAATAGTTTCAACAAATGTAAAAATAGCTTGTCACGGCAGATTGGATCCTATTTCGTTTACTCTCTGAAGCAGCTGCATAATCTGTTATATACATAATAAGTTTACATTTCTTATTTGTAGAACAATATATTAACATATTATGTTATATATACAGTTTAGACGTACTAATTGATAGCATATATTATTAAGCATGACCAGTGCTTCCATTCAAGTGTGACTGATATAATGCTGATTATATTTTGATTAAATACTATCATTGGCTTTCGATTTGAAATAAATTAAAATTAAAGGGAATTAATTGAACTCGAATTATAAGAAACGGTTTTCAAAATAGTAACTTTTAATTACTCCATCTTTGCATAAATCTCCTTATGTATTATTTTCAAAATATTAATTGAACTCAAATTATAAGAAACGATTTTCAAAATAGTCAATTTTAATAACTACAAAATATATTTAAAGAATGATAGTTTACACATCATTGCATATATCATTATGTATTATTTTCAAACAAGACCACACTTGCATAACTTAACTTTGGATTAGATTGCTTTAACACTACATGTACTTGAAATTGTGAGATATATAAACATATCATTACGTCAATACCCATTAATCATACTATCTCAAATGATTTTAATTAGTTTAGCGACAAAAAGGCATATTCAGTTACTGCAATTCGATTCGATTCAGTGTAATGCAAGATTGGGAAGTATTTGAATATATGCTCCTTCTAAGAAATACTACGTCAGAATGATATATTAGTGGGTTATAACAACATAATATTAAGTTGGACGTGCTTGTCAAGATGTTTTTCAAACTGTACCTTCTATCCGTTTTGTTAATTATCAGTAAGTAGTAAATTTAGTGTTATTTTCAACATAAAATTTTTTTTAAATCCATTTTGTATTAAAATCTCATTTCAAAAAATATCAAAGATACGAAGAGGCAGAATTATAGTTGCAACATGTATTTTTTCAGGTTCCTCTGCAGACCTATGTTCATACAAGAAATCGTATTCTACTTTGGATATTATACATATGCATACAGAACGGAATATAAATTATGTTCGGCAGGTTGCTGTTCGTATGGGTCCTTGAAACCATGTTGTGCTGACACTTACACTTACACTTACACGTCGTCTTCGTCCAGGTAATGTTGTAATCCACCATTCCAAATTTGCTAGTTGTAAATGTCCCTATTATATAGGCCATGTACTTCAGCATTCTGTCCTTGTTCCAGAATATACCGAGAAAGTAAGATACACTCTGATGTTTAATGTAAAAGCCACACAATCGGTGTTGTTTTCATTGTGTTCAATCTGCTAGTTAGTTGAAAACGATCGAACAGCTAGTAATCCATTATGTTTTTTTTAGTACTCTGGTTATCCTCTTTAAAGTAGGGGGTTCAATTGGTGGAGTTATAGTTTTCTTTATTATAATATGTGTTATTTTTTCTTCCTGTAAGAAAAAGACAAGAGTGACTACAAGAGTTACTCCTGCTGCAGCAACCACAGTTAGTGGTAAGTTGTCGTTATATTATATTCTTACCGCTTTATCTATTTGAAAGGTATACCAAGAAAAATATTTTAACAATGATTTGCGTTTGTATTGAAAATAACCAGTCAAACAGAAGCGTGCAAAGAATTTGTGTCATATTATTAGGGCTCTCTCAGAATCACCAAAATAGATACAAGCAGAATGAACTCATTTTGCATCATGGATGCAAAGACAGCGTTTCACATATGAATTTTAATTAAGTCATCTTCAACGAAACAACGCGAATAATTCAACAGACCTAAATAATATTTCTAAATGCTTTATAATTACAGTTTCAACCACTCAAAACACACAACAAATTGGACAAGGGTATCCATACCCACCGAGTGGCAATCAGTCGAACCCCGTCTATCTACCGCCAAACAATTTACCCGGACAACCATCCTATGGGGAAGCACCACCTCTTCCTCCAAAATACGATGCAGCTTTTACTTCTTTTCCACATTAAAAGTTGGATCTACTAGGTCTTTTGTTTGTTATTTATTAGTTATCTTGCTAGTTATATTGGTCTGTCTGTCTTTTTTACATATATTTTCTGTTTGTGTGTTTATTTCATATATACGTGATCTGAATATATGACCTTTCCTGTTTTTGTCTATTTAAATACCCTATTTAATAAACATTTTGTATTTTCATACATTTTTTCAATCCTTAGATGAAACATCCCCATATAAATAACTCATGTATACGCTAAATACACTCTTCTCGGGGGTTTCCAAATTTGGATTCGGTCTCCAAATAGGACAACTGCAGTACATTTCCCGTGTAGTGAGGGCGGCGATGAGTCGATTGAGGCGTAACCTCAAATGACGGGAGCTGCTGGAGATGGGTCACGACATTTGAAATCATTTTCCATCAGAGTGTTGACGAAGCTTATATTTCGCCCACTTCGTCTGGCGATAACTTTCGTTTGCGGGTATATTTATCTAAGATCCGTGGCGAATGGATGAAAACCAAACGTGTCTGATCATCAAGTGCTTTCTACTTTGAGTAAACTTGATTACATTTTGTCTTGAGAAGCAATAAAACCTGTACAGTAACGAATTTTATTCGTGTGTTATAACGACTTGATACGTAATTGTCGATCTCGATTCTACCTGTGTCAGTACATAAATTGTTTAAAGAGCATAAGATCTGCGCAATAAAATCATTTGAACTTTGTTTAAACATTTTGAATTATTTTCTGAAGCACTCTTATTATTTTATTTCACAATTTTGGCTTTGTTGTCATTCAGCTATCAGGTAAATGTTATGTAATTACCTAGGCTACAGCAGGTTAAAACACGTCTAAAAGATTTGTTATAATTCGATAAAAAATATTTCGATTTCTTAGAAGAGATTTACACCTCAATATAATCTTCATAGGATCGTCTTCTTAGAATTGCAAACCCTGTTAATTTGACTAACAAGGCGGGTTAGAATATTAAAGTTAACGTAAAACGGGACAAGTTTTCGCTCCTAGATTTTCTCAAAATGTCTTCGCTGATAATTGGATTATATTTTCTTCTTGGAGCATTCGATTGTGAGTCTTTACTTTCTATTGTTTTTAGTCTACATCATTAACAATACTCATTTAGTTTGGCATACCACATTCTATGAACATAGTTCGATATTTAACCCCGATGACAACACCCAAGAATGCGCATTTCTTGGTAGATTCTAATTTGGTAGCTCTAAAATTCTTCCAAGCATAAAGATAATTGATATATACATAGAAAATTGAAAAAATCCATGAATTATTGTTAAAACTGAACCCATCCAACACCAACAAAATATTAAAAGTCAGTAGAAAATTCCGATTTGTGGTATGAAGACAATATTGTCGCGGTTATTATAGAACTTTGATGAATATTGACCAGGCCGATCTAAATGATGCTCTAAAATGATGTTTAAAAATATGCTTCATATTGTCATATTTAGGTATCAATAACTCTTTGATAATGAAGCTGTGCACAGTACAAATAAACCACCAAAATGGACAATATTTCGCCTTACATGAGTCATATCTGCATAAGTGAACATATAATCACAGCTCGTAAAAGTCGTCACAACCTTCAAAAATAGTTTCTGTAGGAAATTGGGAAAAAAGAGATTCTGTAATACTCTTAATCTTCTTTAAAGTTTCAAAAACCGCGAAATTTTACTCTAGTTTTAGGTGTATCTGCTGAAAAATGTCCTTATTACGCCGGCAATCTTAATATTGGATACAAAACATGTATATTTGGATGCTGTTCAACATTCACTAGTTCACCTTGTTGTAGCATATTTAGCAAGTAAGTTTTGTCTGTTCAAAGCATTTGTACGTATCTGGTTGCAAATCAGAAACCATGGCAGTCTACTTGGAAGCTAACTTCATCTTTTCATCTCGGAACATACTGAAACTATGTATAGCGAATACTTCAGTGTGTATGCTTTACAGAACAGAACAAAATATCTGATCTATGAAATAAAAATATCAATATGCAAATTTTAAGCCAAATGCTGAAATTCGCTTTAGTGAAATATATTTTACATCGCAATGTTTATGGGGAGGCTAATGATCGGTTTGAAGTAAAATAAAAGACAAATTTGTAATAACCAACAATTTCGTATACTGCCTCTTTAGGCTAAGAAAAACAAAACAAAAAGTGAATGCTTCATTCCTTATTGAGTATGTTGATTCTATTTCAGTTCAGCTAATATATACTATGTTGTAGGAGGATCTGTAGGTGGATTTCTATTTTTAACGTGTATTATTGCTTGTTGTTGTGCCATTTGTAACAAACCAACTACAAGGGTACGCACAACTGCTCAGCCGCAACAGAATATAGCTTTAGTTACTAGTGGTAGGTATTAGATCTTCTGAAATTTCGAGATTCAACCGAACATTGTTAAAGGCCATTTAGAAAAAAATAAATCTTCTCCCCCCACACCGTCAATGAAATCTTCGCTACATCCTGAATCACTGTTATTGAACTTATTTCATTGTAATATTATATAGCTGTAACCTAGATTTAACCTTTTAATGCAAATCTTCTCATATCACAAAATATAATTGCAATATGGCAAGAAGTATTGAGCCACTCTTTTAAATAAAAACAACGTGACATAAATATTATAATTATCTCGAGACAGGGTAGTATTACTGAAGTAATGATTTAAATTTGGTTTCGAATTTCAGCTGCTCAACAGTCTGGGCCTTCGTACGGTTACCCATATAATGGACCTCCGCCGAACGCTGGGTACCCATACGGGGGTTACCCTGGAGGTGGGTACAACCCCCAACCTCCACCTCCGACATATCCTCTACCAGGACAGGTTGGCGATGCTCCTCCGAAATACCAGTCTCAAGACGACACAAGAAGACTATCTAAATCAGAAACTGGCCAACATCCACCACCAAACATGCCACAAGAGAAATGATTTATTTGAATCTTTCTATAATCCGTCTTTAATAATTAGATATTTTTATCATTATTTTTTGTCATTCAAGTTGCTTCGTTAACTCCTCATTCAAAATTTCTTAGTTTTTGACCAATTTGTAATAACAAAAGAATTATTTATTAGTATTCGAATCCGAAGATATATGAATATGTCCAGTGTATATGTGTTTATAAGTTAGTCATTTCTTTAAATGAATTGAAATAAAATTATGATTATTAATTGAGGGAAGTAACATAATGAAGCTTTTATTACGTAGACATCTGGCGTTCAAAATCAATATATTAAAATGAATGTTGAACTTCAATCGACGATAATATCACTGCTTTTTGTTTGTATTAAAGGGATTGTAAAACTATTACAAAAGCTGCTAATATGCTAATAATATTTAAAGGCATTTGCGATAGAATATAAAACAAAACTTAGTTGTATAGGAATGACCACAGACGACTTAAACCTTAGCAATTTCTTAATTGACAGAACGTGCTGATTGAAATGTAGATGTTGTAGCATAACATAATTTTCTCAAAATGTCATAAATAAAATCGAGTGCTAATCTGAATACTTTACAGTTTAGAAACCTCCATTGAATACGTATTGCATCCAGAAGTCGAATCAATGGCAACTGGTTTAGCTGTCGCCATACGTGAATCTATCTGGGTTGAACTAATAACGCCACCCTCTGTTTAGCTTCGAGGCCGATATCGGTATACCAAAGATGATAACTTAGACATCTTCCATCGAAATATCTTCAGACTGAACCTCTTAATTATTCTGCACAACCATACCACGTTTTTTTCAACACTGTGTGCTTCAGATTCATTACCTTTTGTTATATTAAACCTTAAACTATGTATGTATGTATGGTGCTATTAAGATATTTTTAAATTAGAAATGGATCTCCTTCATTTACTATCAAGATAGACGACAGCGCATTGTATCCAGTGCACTTACGTGCAATTACTCCTAGTAAATGCCATTAAAACAAGGTCATCTGATTTATTGCGTAGATTCAGTTGTTTTGTCTTTCTGATTTTGTCTTGCTATTTCTGTATCGCCATCGAATCACAAAGGTGGATTAACTTTTGGGAGCCAGGTTGGCTCAGTGAGTTAGACGTTTCTCGCTAACCTGAAGGGCCGGGGTTCAATCAGGCGTAGGTCGAGATAATACCTTCGGATTTTTCAACCAAGTTTCTTCTTGTCATTGATGCAGGTCGGACATGGAAAAAGCGTCTAGTTGTTTGGATAGGACAATGCACCAAGACCCCTCGTGTTACAGACTGTGATAAGATAAAGATCCCTCGGCAGTTGGAAGTCGGAAAAGAGAATGCTAATATCGCTGTCCTTGCATAATTGACCTTATTGTGTACTGCATGGCATGCTTTAGCCAAATAAGGATCAGAGTAGGACAGTAGGACTTCAAATACCATATACAACGCTTTATTATAATGGTTAAACGAAAGTATACATTTGCTACCCATAGCGACCATAGTTATTCACGCCTGTGCATTGGGTTAAATTTTAAATTAATATTCCTTAAATGACATGCTGGTTAATAAAAATGTCATCATATACCATAACTATGATAGATTCATAAAGGACATTAAAGGTTTAACTATGCAGATATCTTTAAGAAGTAAAATGCTGTCGATTTGGAAAGGCTTGTTACACTGCTTGAACACTTACCGACCTGTGTGATAATTGTGGGTCATAATTTATTTACCTCCTCGTCGAAGCGTCGTTGAGAGGACATAAAAGACCATTAGTGCAAAAGGTTCATATTTATCATATTTAAAAAAGGGAATTACATGGTGTATACTGCTGAAAGAGCACTATTAAAAAAGAGGTCGTCTGAAGAAATGTGTTCGTGTGATTGATACATTTGTCAACGTCCGAAGACTTACAAATGGCAACAGATGAAAATTATTGCAACTGAAGATATATTATTACCATTTTAGATTTTAAAAATCTACCATTCCACACAACAGGAGGTGAAAATAACCATTTGTAAGTCATAAGAGGTGATGGCCAGATGAGAGCAAGTCTTTCTGTAGACCGGTGAGCATGGTCTTCATTGTCCCCATCCGGAATCAGAAACGCAGGACGTAAAACTCCACTGCAATTGCAATAATATTGTCGACATAGCAATAATGTAAACTTGACCTTAACGTTGCAAAGCCTCTTTCTCCCACGCAAACCTTTACCTTTTATTGTATCTAAATACACCCTTCACTAGGCTTTATGTATAAATCTTATTTTAAATCTCTTACATTTCATTTAAGGCTGAAACAAATTAATATATGGCTGTTAACTAAATAACACTGGGTATCAAATGTGAAAGTGGTCCGTAGATATACAGTTGTAATATTATTTTGTCTTTTTCACCGACTTTAGGGTATGGACTTGACTTTGAGTTTAGAATTGCTTAATTTTCGCAGTGTGTAATATGGAATCTGTTTGCCTTCGGCAATGTCTCAAATATAATTTGTGTTCACTACAAACAAATTGCAACTGCCATTCTTGCAACTGGATGGATTACCCGGTTTGTGTTTGCATAAATGACAGAAAATCACGAGATATGGATTTTATCTCAAAGATTTCGGGTTTTGATTTTCTTCTCAGTATATGTAGGCCCAATCCGTCCATTCGGTTCTTTATTTCCCTTCAGGATTACACTGTCCGAAAACAAGATTCCATCTAATCCGTCCTCAAGGATTCCATAGCCGGATTTTTGACATAGAATAAGTGGATAATGTTCGCTTCGTGTTCCATACTGTACTCTTCGTTTTTCTCTCAAATGTGCAGTATCGTTATTCCCGCATTAAACATCGTAGCTTGTCTATTCGCACCGTAAGTCTGTCATAAATGGTGAGCTACCACAATCGAATATGGTAAGCAAAGCATTAGACCATTGTCGTTCGATACTAGTTTATCACAGACAATTTACTTTTATTGGCCTATTCACTCACATATTGACACGTCTATATTTTATATACTACAGTGGTAGGTGTTGTCGCTTTCAACCGGTGATAATGTTGTATATATAGATTTCATAATTTACCTGCTGGCGACTAGGTAATCTCTTCAAAAAAATACAGGATTATCTTAATCTTAATCTACAGGTGCGTATCTTAATATAACCAATTGTATATTTAATATACGTTAAGTTAAACGGTTTTATGAGTCTCTATTTAGTCGAGATTTTGCAAAAGCATAAGTAAGACATAAAATATGGACTGAGTCGATAGCAAAAGTTGACTGCATTTCAAATGTATACGTTTATGATTGAAATAAATAGACTGGAATTTTTACCTCCATATTTTCTTTTTATTGGGGAGACAGTCAACAATGCATTGCGAAATATTAATGTCATAGCAGAATGTATTATCGTTGAAAAATGAGCAAGATGCCAAGTTCCCACCAAACCAGCTCTTTTCTTTTTAGTGTGGGTATTGACCTTCTGAATCCACGAGTGATTTTTAAAACTTTGATGCCTTATGCCAATGCTCAAGTCGTTGCTCTCGTTATACATATTAGTTTAAGAGCATTAGTCGTAGCATTGAAGTAAATTGGGGTAACATATTGGAGAAGTTAGAAATGCTGGGTACAACAATTACAGCATAATTTGTCGGAATGAACACTATTCAGCAATATGAGTGCAGACCAAACTGTAGGAGGCGCCGTGCTGTAAATTATCAAAATAAAAAGTCAACAACTCTCTTTAAGGAGGCTTGTAATTGTACGGGCGTATTCATGCATAAAGTAATCCATCAGATATCTAGAAAGTATTTGTTTTTCATTACTTTATAAAATTTACATATTAAGGTCAGGCATATGAAGCGTCTTGTTTTGTTCAAAATATCAACTTGTTGTTGTGTATTGTAAAGTAGAGTTTGATAAAAACGGCCCAGTAACTCTTTATGTGTCAAGTAGGGGGTCATACATTTGAAAAGAGGATCTACCAGTATTTTTTTAAAATTCATATAATGCTCGCTGCTTTACTCCCGCGTGACACAGATGCTCTGGTTTTGTATGGCAATGTATACTGAAGTCATGTTTAACCAGCAAATTTAGGTGAGTTTTTTTTTTCAAATTTTATTTATGTTTGCTCTTTTCTTATTTTCTATTAACAAGTGTAGTCTGCATGGCACAGGTCGGTCAAATGATGTTGGGCTTCATCCAAGGAACTTCATCGTCGTCTCGGTTGAAAATAAGTATACCATTGATATGTCGATATATAGTAACATATACCAAATGAATAGTTAGAAATAAGGACAATCATTTCAAGGGCCCTAAAATGTTCATGTTGAATTAAATTTCACCTCTACTTTTCTCAAAGCCATTATTTGATTAAGAAGATAAGAGATTTATTGCATATACGCCCTATGTGGGCAACATACATTAAGAAATGACATATGATTAATGAAGAATAACAACATACCACAATGTATTATGGTCCTTTCTAACGCTCCTCGAGAACAAAAAAAAACACAAAATTATAAAAGGTGGTGGATCTTGTATAATATTAAATGATAGATGATTGTGTCTAGGAAATGTTCATCTTCAATTTAGTATCCATAATTTACAGGGACATACCTGTACTGATCTCGTTCTATTGAAAATATTGTGTTCCTTACTAGGCGTGCAAGCCCGTCCTGAAATCTGTGTCTGAAACTTCATGCTTAATATAAACCCAGACTACTACCTTTTGGTTTACTGATGCAATCTAAACAAATAAATATAAAATGGGACGATACGAAAAATTCATAAACCATGCGTGCATACATACATTAGTTATTGTAGCTGTTTTACTGATGTCATGTTGACATAATTCAATTATATAGCAACTATATTTTCTGTTTAGTATCAAGCAATAGATTTAATTATTGGCTAATCAAATTCTGTTAAATTTCATTTCTTCTGTTCTCACTATTCTGGGAAAACCTGATAACCAATCAACTAGTCAATAAAGTGCTTTTGAAAATGGGACCAAGGCTTGTTACGATGACAAGTTCATTTTAACCAGCGTATGACATATTCATTACGAAATCATAGAAGCGTGCAGCAGTCTAATTTAGTTGACTAACAAAATAACTCATTATCCCGATCAGTAAGAGAGAACTGGGCCATAAAACTGAATTACAGTTAATTTATTTCGTTCACATTTAATTAATATTGACTGCCGGCAATTCAATTTGTACATACATGAATACGAAATACAATGCTGATTCATAAAATAAGTGATGTGTAATGTGGTATAACTCAAGCCAGTTCCGCTAAATGCCATACGATGGACTCCTGTCGTTATACGTATATGGCTTTTAAAGAGCTTTTCTACCTTTTGTCTGTTAAACAAGACCAATATGCAGCATTTTTGCAGATGTTTGTGGTTCTAGCAATTCCACTAAGCTTTATATTACGTTACTTTCACAAAAGCTACCTTTGTGATAAACTAAGCTGAATTAAATTTCAAGGATCACGGACGTCTGACTAAATATTGGAATTTTGCAAATCAAAGTCACTGTCACCGATACACGTCAAGAATTTAGAAATGACCTTAATGTTTAATGTGGGCTAATGATCAACTCTTCCTCATATTGCTTGTCAGATTGATAAATGTCAAAATGTAAACCATGCCATATCAAAATGTTGAGATTCTAATTTGATTGACAAGAGAACATCCGACAAATACACGTACATTCAATGGATCGTTTTAAACACAGATTTAAAAGTAGCTATTACAAATAAATAGATACAGAAATGATATAAATTTTGCAAAAATAACGACCATATTATTTTACCAAATTCTTGCCCCAGAGTCTTTTATGCTTATCTTCATGTATACGTGTTTGTGTATGATTTCATAATGGCAATGTTTCAGTCTTAGTTTTGCTCCATGGTTTCAATTCAAATATCAATCTATGAATATGTACAGATAAGGTTATAATAATTCAATCAATAATTAGTCTTAATAAAACACTGCAAGTTCAAGGTAACCACCATACTGCTTCCTGTCAAGCAGGTGTATTAATTAAATGTTTCAGCGGTAACTAATCAATACAACCATCATTCACATTGAAGCAGGCGCCATAAGGATATCAGTACCGCACTCAATGTTTTGTTTCCACTTCGTTGGATAGGTTTTGCTTATTCAGGTAAGGATAATGTACATAAAGTCACCCATATATCATGCGAAATATTTAACATTTGAGTATTCAAATCTCGATATATCGGATTCAAAAGTGGAGCAAAATGTTAAAAACGCCGGTAGTATATCATGAAAAATAAGACGAAAGTCTGTTAGTATATCATGTAATTACCGTTTCATAATTGAGATCGCGATATACCGGATTCTGTGTTGCAAAACTAAGCAGAATCTGCAGTATATCATGCAAATTATTTACAGTGTGATAATTGAGATCGCCGAATCTGAAGTGTAGCAAGATTGCATTGTTATACATTTCCGAAATTTCACTAATTCAAATCGACCCATGCATTACAGACTACATTTTCCTTTAGTTTCCTTTTGAGATGGATAAACAAGCAAGAAATAATGATATGAGAATAAGTAGAAAAAGTCATGTTTGTATGACTTATTATACAGAATAGATGTTTAGTCCACACCATATTATAGAATATAGGGCTTTAAGTTCGTGATCCTATCTTGAATAAGTATATAAAGGTGAATTGCCAACAATACAATGACTGCTACCTGTCCAATAAAATATCTCGTAAAACCATTATCCATTATCAACCTTCATACAATATACCCGCCCTCAATTTTAAATAGGTCGCCATGCTTGACTGGTTCTCATGGCAACCAGTCATTAAACGACTTCTGTTCAACCATTTTTATATTGATGTGTTTCTCATCCATTTATATGAACTAACGGTAAGGATACTTATAAGGCTAAGGATAAGCCACTTCACGTTCGCTTCTACGCTAAACAAAGAAAGTGGAACGCATACAGATGATCTTGTAGATTGAAAGCGTATTTCTTAATACGGTCCATGTTCTTCATTTCCTACATAACGATGTCTGTTTAATTTCAGATAACATATCGTATAGACAATGAGTTGAAAATCGTAAAGGGGAGAATCAACTGAAATGTCGGAGGTGGCAACGACAGAGCGAAACTGTTTAATCGCAAGTGTTATTATTGTCTTATTTATTTGTCTCTGGAATATACAACCATTCTCTTTATCGTGTTCTCCATTTTTTCTAGTGTATCTGTACTTCTTCGAAGTGAAAATGGATCGTACATATCTTGTCGGTGTTCTGGTGTTTTTGCTAACCTTATTCCTAATATGGTTTTTCTGTTGTATGAAAAGACGTCGACGATCAGGTGCTCTTTTGGCGGGAAAAACGAAATCCGGTGTGCAAGAGGATGAGTTCCGATCAGACGAGAAAACCACTTTGTTTCAAAATGTCCGACATAGGAATAGTGGTGATCAGGATAGGTTTAAACCGGATTTCAACAACGATGCCTTCCGATCAGACATGAAAACCACATATTTCAGTAGCACTAAATCACAACAAAACACTTTAGAAAAATCACCTCTGATATCTAAAAATAATGAGCAAGAGGAATTTAGATCCGATGTGACTACCAAAACGTACACGTCGTATAACACAACTCAGAATGACATTGTGCAGAAGCAAAACGTTGAAACTCTACAAGCAAAAACCGAATCGGATCTGTTATCAAGTAGCATGGACTCTTCAATGTCCTCAGATTCCTTTGATCACGTGGATGTCCTCAAAGTCAAGACGATGAAGAAGGATAGTTATAAGAAATCTAAGCACGTAGAGAAGCTGGCTGAAAAATTCAAATCCACTGATGAAGTTACTGAAGCTATGAGGCGAGCTGGTTTAGAACATTGTAACCTTATTTTTGGTAAGTGAATACATTTTTCCCAGTTCTTCGGAAAAACAAAAAAGCACGTTCGGTCTAGCTTTAAAATGGGTTGTCCAGCCAGGCAAGCACGTGTATCAGGAGCTCTTACGTTTCCAATTTCCAGAAGGTGGTTACTTCCAAAAGACTCAAATGGTATCGTTTAACTAATAAGCAACCATCTCAGTGAGGCTTCGACCGATTCCTTCTTCATACAGATATATTGGTTCTAATATCAGCCATATAACGTTTGTTATTTCATTAAATTTTAATATTTTACCAAGCTAATGCATTTATGAGTACTACACTCTCATACTCAATGCTGAAAGTACTGTGATTGTGTGAATATTGAGCCTGAAATTAAACCATTATTACTACCGAAACAGTACCATATTAATGTTTAACATTAACCAATATATTCCAGGTGTGGACTACACGGCGAGTAATTATAAGCAGGGTAAAAAGACTTTTGGTGATAAATATTTACATAAAATAGATCCAGAAGTACTCAATCCTTATCAAAAGGTAAGCCAAAGCATATCGTGTAATATCGACATGAGTAGTTTTTGAAAGAGGACAGTCTCCTCGTTTCAACACAGGATTAGAAGCCAGTATGTATTGCAGAGTATATTCTAAGGTTATGATGCATGGCACCTTTTTTATCTTCTAAAAGTATTTAATAACATGCATGTTCTTTTGTCCAAATAGCTGAAAATCGGAAAGGCCATATAAAAATATGTTTTATATTCCAAACTTTTCAGAAAAGGGTATTTGTGAGTCAGCCTTAAATGAGGTATATTTACTGAGGGTTCTAAATATTGTTTTAAATCTTATTTCAGGTTATAAAAGTCTTGGGTAAAACGCTACATTCATTTGCTAGTGATGGAACAATACCAGCTTTTGGGTTCGGTGACATGACTACCAAAGACAGGGCTATATTTTCACTTAATACATCTGTGAGTATATATCTATGTCATATTTCTCAACCCTCGACTGTGCACATACTTGTAATATTAAGCTTGAGAATCATCCTTATGCCAGAAAATCACGAGTATTGACATACAGGATTAAATGTTGGTTTTGAAAATACTTGTGTATATAAATGTTAAAGCTATGTCCTCACATCACTTAATACTTTAAATTTGACTGATAACAAAAGTTGCCTTAACAGCAAACAATTTTACTAGGAGATACTCATCTATAAAATTAGTCAAAGTTGATTATCCAGGACACACATCGATTTGAAGGGTGAAAATTCAACGGTCAGCTGTCAACATTATTTTGCTACACTGATTGGCTTAGCTAGAAAATTTCTGTTTCTGAGACTGGTATGATTGGTAACAAATAATTTATTGTAGGGTTTGTGTGTAGGATTTGAGGATGTATTGAAGACGTACGACAGAATAACACCCACTGTCAGACCAAGTGGACCAACCAACTTTGCTCCACTGATATATCAAGCTATTTCTATTGTTAAAGCGACCAGTGAGGTAAGTTTATCATGTTTAGAAGTTATATCAGTGTCAGTCTATTGTTCTATAAATCAGGCTTGTTGAAATTTTCTGGTAATAATTTGACTAATTTTTTTATTATGTAAGATTAATGAACAGACCAGTGAATCAACAAATGTTTCGCAATAAAAATGAAGCGATGGCATTGGATTTGTATAGATGTTCTTGTTAAGTTCAGAAAACTGAAGTGTAATCTGCAATATATTGACGCATTATCGCTTTTGCAACTATGTTCTTGGTGGTTCTTTGCGACACAAAATTGAATGGTACAAATGAAAATGAGAATATACACAAGATGTTCTTGTGCCTTCCAAATTGATCACTCTAAGAAGTCACCAAGAGTGTGAGTTCATTAACTGCAATCCACGTTTGAATTTGAAATTTGCATGTAACATTAATTTTGCAAGAAAAGGCTTAATATAATAATGTTAAACAATTTATTTTTTCTTTCGTTTTGATTTTGATTTTGTTTCGTTTTGTTTTATTCAGCCTAAACACAAGGTATGGATCGATATGATTTTGTTTGGGCACATATTAACCCTAACAACACTCGTATATTAATGTATTATATTAATGCGTGCACACTAACCTTCGGTTGCTATTGTCGCTTGTAGAGTATTAAATTAGAACTATTCTGCATTCTATGATACTCACTGGAATATAATCTATCTCCCGTGGAGCATTCCGAATGGCAATGATCAAATTGATAATTCCATATGACCTGTCCCTAAATAGTATTGAATGCCTTATTGTAACGTATCATTGTATACTGACATGACGAAGCTATATCACACGCTCTATCATACCCTTTCACTAATCCGACCTGCCTTCAGTTGAGAACTTTGCAGATAACGCTTGGTCTTGTCATCTGCACTGTCAGCTGACGTTATTTAGTTTTTTTTTCTTTTCGAATGAACGAAAAGTAACATATGATTAGTTGACAAATGGCAAAAGGCATGGCAGAATAATTTTTTTCTAAAAAGTTTAATAACGCATTCTGTACCTTTTGCTAACCTTCTATGATATTGCTATGTTACCACTTGTTATTCGACAAAAAATACCAATAACGCTTGGTAACGTTTTACAAACTGAAATCAGAGCTAATAGATTAGTTTGACAATATCGAACAAATGAGTACACTGAGTAAGATAAGTATCAATATGATATACGTGATATCGCTTGATAGAGGTTATTGTGTACCTGATATTTATCATTATTAACCCTAATAGAGCACATACTAAATTATAACATACTGTCATCGGTATTTTAATCGTATATTGGGCTTTCCCTTATACGCTTGTTCTATTATAGATGTTGTTGCAACTTTAAATTCACAGGAGAAAATTTATAGCAGTATATCACCAGATTGTGCTAATTGACCATTAATATATATTCCATATAGCTTTCTTTTTAAAACGATTTGCATGGTGTTTAACCGATAAAGTACATCTATTACTATATGGGTATTCGAGTTTCGGGGATATTCAACTATTGTTTTAAATGATCTTTTGCCTTTAATGATGATATCATGTTGTAGTTCTTTTCTTCGCCAACATTTTTAAGTCATCTTTCTTGGCTCATCTTAAAAGAGATATTTAAAAGATATTCAATGCTGAATGTCTGATTTTAATGTGTTGTTCCAATATCAACAATTCCTTGGTCGGCATGAAAATCTCACCTTTCATGAGACGAAAATTACACATGCAATTAGATTTGCCATTTGCTTATAATGGCTTTTGTCTTTATTTTTAAATATTATTTCAATAGTTATATATGCACTAAACCATTAAAGAGTATATTATGTTAAAAATATCTTGTCAGCCCTATGGTTAAATGAATTATAGAGTCTTCTTGAAACATCCCAAGTTATACGGCTCTGTAGCATTTGAAAGGACGAAATTCTGACTTCAATTCGAAAAGTAGTATATCCTTAATTGTGATTTATTGAACATTAAATCTATATTTCAATCGTTTCTTAACATTTATCAAGAAAAGTAAAAAGCCAGTTACACAAAACTGATTTATACATACACACTCCAAGGGGGATAATTAAATAATGTATCGAAATAATGTCATTCATTCAGTCATTCCAGTTTGCGAAAATTACTAAAATATAAGCGGTATTTGTACGATATTTGACAATTGTTTGTATTTATATGAATATTCAACAAAAACTATTAAACAAAAAACACTTAACACAAAATATTCAGAAATATATGAAAAAAGCACTGTGAAAATGATGATACATTTACTCAAAAAATCTGAAAATGGTCGATATCTATACTCTTACAAAATATGGCAGTTCATAAAGACTAGCTTATCGGATGGGTGGAGAACTATATCTACTTTACTGATATATATTTACGGTTCATGTCCCAAGAAGAAATATCCAATTTCATCTCTTACAATCTGTAAATTATTTATTTTCAGTATCATATATTAGTAATAGTTGCTGATGGCCAGGTTACCAGTGAGCGAGAAACAACAGAAGCTATTGTGAACGCCTCAAATTATCCCTTGTCTATTATCATGGTGGGTGTTGGAGATGGACCTTGGGATACCATGGACGAATATGACAATAAACTGCCTACTAGAAAATTTGATAATTTTGAATTTGTAGACTTTCATAAAGTGACCGAAACTACTAAAAATGCTGATGCCTCATTTGCCCTCCATGCCCTGAAGGAAATTCCAACTCAATATAAGGACATTAAGGATTTAGGATATCTAAAATAATATCTGTGGAAACATGTATAGGATTCGAGTAATTGATGAATTTATATTACGCCAGCCCAATTTATGACAGGTGCTTTCTGATCATGCCTTAAAGAAGTTATCTATTTTTTGTTTCGGGATGTTTAACAGGATCCACAAACGTCAAACAGAAACTATAACATACCAGCAAAACGATTACACAAGGGCTCGAACATTTCTTTTGAATCCAGAGTTTGTTTTTAACACAAAGGTGTTTTGACCTTGAATGTTCATGGTGAATTTGGTTCACATTTACTTTTTTTTACAATATATGAGTTACTTTCTGTTCGGCTCTCGCATCTTTGTTTACGTAATATAAGCATATCTATGCAAAATAAACATTATAAGCGACTGAAAAACCCAGTCGCAAAGTGGCATAAAAATTTGCAAATTTTTCTTCCACAAAAGTTAACGACGTCTTGTATTGTTTATGACGTCCATAACAGAACAAAAATATGACATGAAAGTTTCATCAACGTCCAAATCAGATACATATTTTCATTTTCTGTCAAAGTTGTTTCGTCTCCTTAATCCATCCTTATAGTTTATTCTTGTCCCAAATAAGCTTCTAATAAGTTCACTCCACTGTATTGCGTGATAACCTTTCTGTTATATTTGTTTATAAGAATGGTGTTAAGGGAATATCTCTTTTTTTCAAAAAGCATAATGAATGATGCATAAAACTTTATAAACAAATGTTATTATATGCATATTTGTTTAAAAGGACGGTGTGTTTTAATTTTTTTTTTCTATCTAACTGCCTTTATCGTGCATATTTTTATCTTCAATTGTTAGTTTAGATATTTCTCATGTTTTATTGTGAACCTCATATTCTTTCTATGTACATTTTTAACAATTTGTTAAGCTTTAGAATATACTTTTGTCAATAATGGCTTTGGTCTTTATTTTTAAATATTATTTCAATAGTTATATATGCACTAAACCATTAAAGAGTATATTATGTTAAAAATATCTTGTCAGCCCTATGGTTAAATGAATTATAGAGTCTTCTTGAAACATCCCAAGTTATACGGCTCTGTAGCATTTGAAAGGACGAAATTCTGACTTCAATTCAAAAAGTAGTATATCCTTAATTGTGATTTATTGAACATTAAATCTATATTACAATCGTTTCTTAACGTTTATCAAGAAAAGTAAAAAGACAGTTACAAAAAACTGATTGATACATACACACTCCAAGGGGGATAATTAAATAATGTATCGAAATAATGTCAGAAATGTTTATTCATTCATTCCAGTTTGCGAAAATTACTAAAATATAAGCGACATTTGTACGATATTTGACAATTATATGTATTTATATGAATATTCAACAAAAACTATTAAACAAAAAACACTTAACACAAAATATTCATAAATATATGAAAAAAGCACTGTGAAAATGATTTTAAAATTGAACTCTGATCCAAGATGTCACATTTCTTCAAAAATTCTAAACTATACTCTTATAAAATATGGCAGTTCATAAAGACTAGCTTTATAATTGGTGAGCCACTTTCCTCCATCCCTAACAGTGTTTCTAAGTTTATCTTGCCATCGCCCTGCTGGTAGATAAATATCCCTAGACAAATCACCTTGAATGACTACAGGGGCAACTAAAATATCGTTGCCTAATAGAAATTCATCATCTATCATAAACGTTATAGCGTCAGTAGGAGCTACCCACCACAATGGTCTGATAATAGGACTTCCAGTTACCGTTGCTTCTCGAGCAAGTCTTACAATTGTCGGTGTGTAAGATGTGTGAAGGTCTATTAATTTTCTAGCTTCAGTCGTAAGAGTGGTGTCATTGTAGATCCACGGTGGGACTGAAAACTGCATGGAAGGCAGGAACGTGTTCACCTGCAACCATCTAATAAATAGTTCTTGATCTGGATAGTTCCTGGCTTCTAATCCATCAGCGGCATCATAAGCATTACCACCGATCATGTCCGGGAGAACAAAAGGGTATCCGATTAATCCAAAAGTTAAGGCACATGGTATAATAGTTTTCAGACCGTTACTTCTTGTCCAGGTGGAATCTCTGTCCAGCATGCGACTAAATATCGGTAGTCTTTGAGTCCTAGCACCGACGCGAACCTCCTGATGTCGGATATTTTTGTCTGATTCATATGCCAGCTCTGCCCATTTTTGTGTGTACACATCGGGATTCCTGTATGTAGAATTAACACTATACACATTTGGCAACCAGTTTACTTCGCCTGCATCAAATTTAAAGGAACTAATATTATAATTGGTTTTCAGATTTTGAAGTTGTTTTAGGTACCATGACACAGCCTCGGGATTAGTTACATCCAGAATACCAGCTAATTTCCCTCTCCACCAGCTAACGAGTGCTGGCAAATTGCTGTCCAACTGGCGTACAAGGTATCTCTTTTCATAGGCTTCTTTGAAAGATGTGGAATCTTCATTGAAGAAAGGATGAACCCATATAGTCACCCGAAATCCTTTATTATTTAATCGTCTCACCATGGCTGCTGGGTCTGGAAATTTATTTAAGTCGAAACCCATGTCACCATAACGGACGGTCCACTCGTCATCAAGTTCAATCTGGGAATGGGGAAAATTATTGGATATAATATCATCAGCAAATTCTTCCAATTGAGTTTCATTGATATCCTTCTTGTACATGGCCCATGTGGACCAAATTGGTGATTTGAAAAGTTTCTCGTCGGGAATGTTTTCTGGACGGGGTATATAGGTTTTAGACATGTAATCGTGAACTTTTCTGATATTATTGGCATAACATACAGAATAATTCAGATATGGAAGACTGTTATCATAGTTGATGTAAGGATATTGGGTGTATTTAGCGGACATGCAAAATTGACGTGTGTTGTTTTCGTTCATTGACAGGTGCAATGGGACATCTTGGTCAATAAATACACCATATCCGGCAGACGACAAGAAATATCGTTCTAATACACCGCCGTACATTTTTGCATACGAATCAGACGCCACATAAGGTGCCAGTTTTTGTTGAATGATATTCATAGGCCAGTATTGATTCCAATCTTGAAAACCTCCATACCAATGTCCGGACATGTTTAAGCAGTCTTTTAGTTCTTGAGAAACACAAGACAAGGCCGACCAAGAAACATCATAGCATGTGACGTCATTTTCTTTACGAGTTGTCATCACGAGTTTCCGGTCGTTTTCCCACGTGACGCATACGTTACCATCCTGGCTACACGATTTATATGAGCTAGGGTTTTTAACTCCCATGCCAATTGTACCGGTAACAGAGGGTCCTATTTTCAGTTCTTGTGCTTCACCCAATTCTATCTCAGCACCCTCAACCTTGTATTTTGATTCTTCTGCTGGTGTCTCATCTTTTGTAATGTTCTCGACTGACAGAGCCCATCCAATAATACCACCAATCAGCACCAGCAGTACTAGAGCAACCACCACACCCATCAATATCTGACGGTACCGACTGTCCAATTTCGTCATGACGCCTTTTCTGAAACGATAAATAATGAGTTCATGCTTAGTGGTATAGCCAACATAATCTTTTTCGGTTTTAATAATACAAAAACATCATAACACTAATAATATACTTAACAAATACTTTCACGCACTGTCGGTTTTATTAGCCCAATCAGGTGTAGAGTATTAGGACGTTCAATATCATTACAATTTTGATATGGTATAATAACATATGAAAAAATACACAATCTGTAATCTTTTGATCAAATATGAACCAACCCTCTTCATGCTGTTAGTATTGGTATTTATTAACATATGATTTACCCACGTCTTGACTGCAGATCTAATTAGTCAAGATGGATGTGGTATCCGATGGGAGTCAAGATCACACATCCCATGTGCAACAAGCCTTTTGTCATTAAACACTCGTGACCTTATCATTCCAGTTCTAATTTAAAAGGAAGGATTTGAACCCTATTTCATGGAATGATATTTCATCGAGGATGTTCCACTCAAAACACTTCTCTAGCTGTACTATTCCGAGTAGATATAACACTTGGTAAACATTACTAAGCTAACCGGCACTTGTTAATGAATAGGCCTGTTCTTTCTATGAAATAAAATCTAAGTTACTTATACTGTGGAATTATGCCACAGACTGAAAGATCCTATAGAAATTCCTACCTCCATTTTGATTTATTAATTTGAACTTGATCCATAATAACTTTGAAATTGATTTGTTACTTAATCCCTGACATTAAAATCATATTGAAATTCACATCATATTACATTCACTAAGTATCTTGAAATTCAACAGACGAACACGAGCCGTTATAGAATATCGCCATGTTTGATTTGTTTTAGACTATTTATCTATAGACCTATATTGAGTTATTTATGCCGTAACCAAGGTACACATTGTGGCTTGAGAGAAGGTCTTAGTGTCAAAGGGGAGGCTTCAATTAATTATGAAGCACGTTTCGTTCAATATCTTACATTCTCGGTCAGTGCAATTTAATAAAAAATGATCTGATCAAAAAAGGATGGGCTGGTTTTGTACAGATTTGGTATGTTGTGGATACTTTTAGTATTCAGCGTATAAAGTAGGCCTTGAATGCCAGAATATACCCAAAACTATACAGGTATCCCAGTGTTAAAACAGTTCAGAAGGGATTTACTGGCCTGTCTATCCGTATAGGGAACAGTATAGCTTCCTAACTCAACATTCCAAATTCATGTCCGACGTATGTGTTTCCTTTCATTCCATCTGAGCCAAATGGTAGTTGTAATGGTGACTTCATAATTTGGTCATATTTTTTTGAGATTACAGGAACCATAGATGGTGCGAATATAAATACCATTTAAAAATGAAAAAGACCGACACTCAACAGGATCTGAACATAGATCTAATGCCAATCCTTCAGATCCGCCAATGACACTTATTTGGAGGTTTGAGGATAATGCTACATGTATGATATTTGGTCGTCCACTAACTATGTATGGTCACGAAATGTAGTGGGGATTACTTACAACTAAATTGCTTAGTGGTTTAAGGAATCCTCTATGTCCTTCGTAAAATAAAACTTACCGCACTGATCGCCACATGATGAAACATCAAAAGTTTAAGAATAATTGTCCAATAGTAATAAAGTAAACACACTTTTATCCTTGTTCACTTGAAATCCATCTTACTAACAGATTTATAACCTAGAAGCACATAACTTCCACCCAAGACAACTTTATTAACATTTCTATGTCCAAGATTAATTTTATTGGAAATTTATGACTGGTATGACCATATCGGTTTTACAGTCAAATGGATCATAAACCTTATAAAGAAAGGGTATACGTATTCATAAATGGCCTACTACGATTTTCTTTAATCCGGATTGAGGATGAGTCGAGTGCTATTTACTATAATGGTAAATATTATCAAATAATCACAAATATCACAGCCACAGCTCATCATGATTCCATATTATCCAAAACACGCTATGATTCTTTTCCTTAAAACATGCATAATTTACCCCAATACATGTTCAAACCTATAAGGTATCCTGCGATCCATTTCTCATTTAATCAAATGTGGATTGATCTTATAAATTGTGTGTATAGCGAGTCAAGCCGTCTATATTTCTGCGTTTGTTCCAGATTAGGTTTGACCAGCTGGAAGAAAGAATCCACATGAACCTAACTTCTTATTCTTGAAAAATTTTTTTTTTGTTTTTGTCTTTCTTTTGCTTATCCCAGTTGCTGCGTGTATCAGTCCGTTCTTTACGATACACATTAAGAAATCAATATATAACTACATGTGTCATTATTCCGAACACTCAACTCTCTTCATTGTCAGTACCAATCGATGATCAATAACATTCCTTTCTAAATCGATTCACTGTCACATAGGCATAACTATTATCGTACGTATACGAATGTCTTCTACATTTGTTGAAGTGACTATGTTCTAAAGAAATACGTGATATACTAATCAGTGACACTGCCACATTCCTTACAATTCATTAGTGAAATTACAAAAAAAAAACAATTCCATTGGATAATGAAATAACAACCAATCATGTTTCATTTATGCCAAACCGTTTTATGGATCGAGGAAAGAATGACCTTGAATTAGTATTATGTAAAATGCAGTAACTAGGGCGCTATAGTCCAGATCGATAAAAAGTAAAAGCTGCTTCCAGTTTCATTATTTAAAAGCAATAAACAAATACCGCTGTACGATATTGCCTCCCTTGAATGATTTTTTTTCAAGTTTTAAAATTAACTGTAATGTATGTTCTGACAAGTGATTTTATATCTGCATCGAACGCGAGTCGACGCGAAAATCTGAGAGATTATAAGCATGAAGAATGTTCATGGAAGGACAGATGAAGACAAGAGAATATGTTTCAGTGCGTTAAATTTGATTTTATTCTAAATTGTCTTTTTCCGGAATTTGAAAGTAGGTAGCATTGATAATGTATCTTCATTTCAAAAGTATATTCTGTATGGCCTGCATATGCAAACGAGTAGGGCATAGATTATATGTCGCTTTACTAGGAGTTGTTTAGATTATATTTCGCTTTACTAAGAGTTGCTTCCCGTACATTATACATTTTAGTATTCCAACCAAAAGTTTTCTAATTATCAGAATATAAAACTTCTGCATGCTGTGAAAAACACATTGACAACCTGCTGAGATACAATGAGAATGTTTCTTACATGAAGTTTGTTAGATAAAGTAGTAAACATACAACTTTTCGACGTTTAAATGTAACAAAGATATAATACAAAAATACGTGCCCATGCCTGTTGGATAATAAATGGTTTAAAGATTTTTTATTTTATTTTTACTTCCCTTGCTACGTCAAAAAATCTTAGCAAGATGATGTTTGTCCAGCTTTTGAGGTTGTCTCTAGTACCGGATACACATAGAAGCAAATATGTACAGCAAATTGGAATAATTATAATTGGAACAACACATATTAAAAGAAAAAAGAACAATTTTTAAATCATGGCAAAATGTGACGAAAAAATCAACTTACCTCTACGCTGATGATATTTTAAAATTTGCTCTTAAGAGTATCATTTTTAGATTAAAATATGTATATATACACAGGGTTTGTTTTTCTCAAACAAATGAACATAATCCCGATAACTAAGCCGAGCCACTCACTTCATGGAATAAATAACAGTATGTGCATACTCTATTTTCATTGGATCTTCGGAATACGTACGCCAATCATATTCTAATATTTTCCAACCAAAATCGAAGAATTACTATTGAAAATAAACAATTCATGAAGGAGAAAGTTCGAGTAACAATGCTTTACTGCTATCTGTTGTGATAGTGTATAGGGAACGAATTAAACAACCGCATTATTCGAAGCTTTCCCTTGAATAAGTATATAGAGATATCATTATACTCTGCACAATGTAATATATGTTAATGGATACTGTATCCATGTGTGCCTTTTAATATCCTTTGTGAATATATATAAAGGTTATTTGTGAAAGGGAATACACAATTCGTCATTGAACAGTGTGATAATATGTGACGTGTTGAAAGATAATATTCGTATAGATTGGGTCGATTAGTCAAAGCACCCCATCTGATCCCTTGTAATCGACATAGACAATTCGACTGTCTACTGGAACTGCGATCATTTGGTAGCAGATTCTAACCCTGGATGTCGATCAAATCAATATTTCTCGGAATGTTTTATATTATCAGACGAAAAAAATACAGCAACAAAAAATTTGAAAACAATCTATTGATAATAATACTTTCCACATTACAAAATATGTCCAAAGTTGTTAATTCAACTATATTACTCATATGAACACATACTTCCAACGCCATATAACTTTAAATAACTTCGACATTCGTATAATATTTTGAATTAACACTTACATTAGTTACAAACACACTAGTCTTTTCTACACACACAAAAACATTCGTTTTCTTTACACATACAAACATTATATCTTTCTCTACATATACAATAACATTAGCTTTTTCTACCCGATATCCTGAGAAACATGGTGATATAGATCACTGTCTATTTTCTACTTTTCAAATAAGTTGATAATCTTGGACTGCTTTCTAGTAATTTTCTATTGTTTAAAAGTTTTGGAGAGTTGCTGATTGCATCTTCTTTTAGTCTAATAATATTGTCTACAATATCGTATAAATATATATCTGCATAAGTCATCTGAAATGATAAGTGTTAAATTCTCGATCACTAGTCGACTTGAAGGTGATGACTTCAGACTACATCGAATTACATTATTTATGGACATCGGTGAATAAGTGTGACTATTGACTTATATCTTGACTATTATCTATTTGAAAATTTATGTCCCTTCATATACAGTGCAGCCATATCCACGTCATTCATCCAATAAAGGAAACTTGGAAGTTTTCATACTTCGTGCTAAAACGTCCATTTTTGTTTACTCGCACTTTAATGCTGCTTTCTGTCTCCTTTGTAAATCAGTCAAAAAACGAAAAAAGCAAAACCCACGAGATAGATAAATCGTCAATGATAGTTCAACCTTGAGGCGTGTAAAAATTGGCAATTGCCACGAGGGAATCTCGAATATAATCACAACTGACTTACCGAATCGCCTACAAAATAACCACTAGGACCCACGAGGTTCTCACTTTGAGTAATATATTGGGGAATAACTTCCGATGTCAACCTTTCCATTAAGCATTTCTGGAAAAGGGAAAAAAGACAAACAAAACTATTTATAGTTGTTTAATAAAAGTAAAAAACAATAATGCTGATCGGAGGGACTGACATGGAAAAAGCATCGTCGGATGAGACAAATTATACACCATCTTCTACAGACTGCCCGATAAAAAACAACCCTCGATGGTCGGAAATTTTGCCTAAAAAAGTAGAACCCCTTCCGCACCATTTCACTGAATAACCAAACTCTTCAGTTGAAATTTAAAAGATGCCCTACCTTCCTCTCCTCGTCTTTCTCATCTACAGCTATAACATATTCATGGACGAAATCTTTTGCACAGTCCACAACAACATCAATATTAAGAGCATCTATGTTGTTCTTACCATAGAGACCTATAATTACAAGATTGTGCTTCAAGATTCCGCACGAATTCTGCGATATCAGCATCTGCCTTCATCTAACAAACAACCAACAAGATTCCAACTAGACCTTGGTATCTTTGACATTTCTACCTTTTTACGATGTCATCGCAATCTTTTGGCAAAGCAAAGAACCAACAGTGAGGCACCTCTACCACAAACGTTGGTATGGTATTATTGTTCATACTTCTGATATGGGATTCCATTAGCCTTTGTCCCAACTAATATAATTAGCTTAAAGCTTCTGAAGCTAGTATTACATTGTAACGCAGCTAAGTAGTTCTTCTTTATCACCCCAAGTCTTCATGTTTCAAATGAAAAGTCAATCGGACTGAATATGATAAAAGTCATATTAACCATTCAACACTTCAGAAATAGCCAGTCCGATAACCTTCAACTTGTCTAAACCAATATTGACTAATTTACGTGGTTACCACACTGTGTGTTAGACAACCAAATACACATGTGACCGAATGTCATATAGAAAAAACTGACTATACTAACTATATAGGTGTTCGATTAATCGTACAGCTATACTCTAAGTGATATGATATAACTTACTAAATGATCTAGCTAAATATTGTCCAATGGCACCAGATTGTCCATACAGTTTACCATCAATTTCTAAAACTGGCATCTGACTAAAAGGCGTCCCTGGAAACAAATATTTTACTTGTCAGAATAACGTCCTCGTGACATCGATGCCATGTCTCTATAAGATTTTTGACAACGAACAAAAACAGGAAATCTGACTCTGGACCCACCCATTTCAGTCGTAGGTGTCCATTGAGCAGTGCTATTTCAATTAATTTTAAAAATTTATTGGACTTCACATTGTTCACCTACAAACAAGCAGTACCTACGTACATGAATTTAGTATTTCAAAATAAAATTACTTACGTGGTTTGAACAGATTCCATTCGTCGCGAGTATATCTTTTATCTTCATATTTTTGTCCTGAAGCTGCAAACAGAAGTCGGATGCCTTCCCCTCTTCCACGAACATCAAAATAATGTAAACGGTAGGTAGGCATGGCGGCGTAATATGGTGAGATGGATATCACAAGAGTATAAACCTTCTTGGTTTTAGGTATTCGATTTAATGAACGTTTCCAAAACACCGTAATATATATTAAATCTCCAAAACTGCTGAATCATCATCTAACAATACCTGTCATGGGCAATTATTAGAATCTTGTATTGTATTTGCTTACTCTTCACTACGATATATAAACAGTCTGGATATTATAAAGTTCCATCATGATAAAGGTTTTTTTTTTGATGAATCATTGTTCTGGAAATTTCTATGAATCTTAAATTTGTATCGAACATTAAGGGAAATGATTTGTTCTTCTCGTGTAAAAAGGCTAGTCCACAGAAGTACCAATTAGCTAAAAGATTTTGTTTTGTTTTCTGTTGTTTATATGCAGTTCTGTTACGAATACACCTGTTTCAATTAGTTAATCATTCCTGAAGGGGAGCCAGGTGTGTAAGTGCCATTGTACGATGAAAATCATAGTCCAGTAGTCGACTAGTTGTAAATCAGTATGTAACTCCCATGATGGAAAGGATTTTTTTTTTGGCCAAAAGAAAGCCATTAAAAAGCCATTAAAAATTAGTAATCTCTAATTATAAGTTCCTCCTCCTCCATCTTTTCATGTTAGAGCTTCCGTATGCAATCCGACATAGGTAGTACCTGCCAAATGGCATACTCGGATGGGATAGCGCTATTTAATGTGTTACAGGCTGATTACTTTGTACATCGCTAAAAAGGGACCAGTCCTGCTGTCATGACGGAATATTCATTCACCTAGTAGCATAATATAAAACTCCATTTCATTTATATCTGAGTTGATACTACCAGGATTTTTCGCTTAGTTAGTAAAAAATATACTTGTACGATGGGATATGATAATGGTCTGCTGTGAATATGGACACCTGAAAGTATATGAAGGAGATAGACGGTGTCCAATATTTTTTCAGGTAATAATGACACAGCGGTTTAGTGGACATGTACTACTTGTATAGGTAATATAGCAACACAAATATCATAGGATTAAAAAGGGTCATATGATATAGGTAATAGTGGACGTATGAATGTAGATGTATGTTCTGTAATTCAGCACATGGAGGACCAACGCAGTTCATTTGACACCATCGCAAGATGACATCGTTGTACGTCAAGACCAAAATTCCAACAGGAACACAGTTTCGATGATACATTTTGAAATGAAATATAAAGCATATAAAACGTCATATGATGTTTTTAAATTATGTTTTTAACATTAGTAATATAATGAAACGTTTAATTCTCCATTGATTTCACTTCTTTTTAAGTTTTAAACTTCTTTCATTCATATATTACAAATAAATCAAAACAAATTTTCTTTTCAAGATTTAATAAACAAAAGAAATAATTATAAATAACATACTACATGATTATATTGAATATATCCTTTCGATGAATTTGGTTGGGAAAGAATGAAAACGTTTCAACATTTAAATAAATTGTTGATTGAGTTCTTTTTTGCTTAATTCGTTGCTCAAATGATGCAAGAATTAATTTTTAAGTTGGATTTCAGATAGAGATTAGCTTACGTTTTAAAAGTCAGCTAATTCATATCGTTTGTGTTTTGGAGAAACTATTTTGTGCTGATCTTTTGATACAGTGTATGTTGCGTTCTTTACCTTGTTCAGCTGGTTAGATGAAAAAGTTTCAGTAATTCAGCCATGAATGAAAATATAAAAGTATACGAATAATATGGTAAAGAAGGTTGAAGGTTTGTCAAAATACCACTTAGTAGAAAGAAACAATGAAAATACGGTGTTCAGCTCATGTCTTTGTATCCCTCTGCTTCTCCCTTACTATATTTTGATGAAAGAGACATCGGTCTAGATAATTTATGTTCCACAGACATCTGACGTTGAAGAAGGTGGAACAAGTTGATCAAATACCACGAAAATTAAAAATATATTAGAACGCCTTCTGTGTGAAAAAACTTAAAAATTAACAGAATGTATGAACAGCACAAAAAACATGACCATCATGTGTAACGTCAGATTGCTTTCCAAAAGTTAATGACAGTTATCCTTACGAACAGTTGCAGTAATCGGGAGGGCATGCAGTACCAACGCAGTTCACTTGACACCATCGCTTGATGACATCGTAGTATGTCACAGCCCAAATTCCAACTGGAACGCAGTTTCGAGAGTATGTCTTATCGTCCTCATCAGTTAGTTCTGTACTAATAGGCTTGGCTGTATGATATGTAGGACAATCGTTACTAACTGCAATGTCTGCACAATTTATAAAGGTTTCTTGCGCACCATAGCCTAAGCCACACCACTTATTTAAGCATCCCCAATTGTTTCCTGAAAACAAATAAAAAAGGTATTACTCAAGGGAAGGTGTATTTTGGTTTATTACTAAAGCAGTTAGAGCGGAGGTTAAGTTGTCATTTACCAATCAATTATTACCATTACATTTATTTTATTTGTGCCCAGAGGTTTACGCCGGACCTTAACGACTAGAAAAGTATATTCACCACGTAAATTGGACATTCTACGGATATGATACAACCAAAACGATTTTAACTTGAATGGTATTAGCGATAGTGATGTTATAATCTAGTCAGATTTTGTTCAGAATTTCAAGCATCACTCACAAAGAATCGAAATACAAAGAAGACCTCTCTCTTCGGGATCTTAATTAACAATCTTGAAGATATTCACTGACATTAGAAACTTACCTGTTGTATACGTCCATTGTAAGACACATTGGGAACACGACAAGCCTTCTGGTAGTCTCAACTTTAGGTAGACATCTTTCATATTCCCCTTGATGGTGTATTTCTCTCCATGCTCGACACCGTTTAGATCTTTTATCATCAAAATATGGGTATCCAGACAGCTCTGCTCAACAGCACAGCCTATATCATTATTGGGACATAGTTTAAATTGGAAATAGCCCAAGTGATTGGCGGTGATCTCAACTTTTATGTCTATCCATTTAGTTCCTGGTGCATAACAGCCACTAATGATACCCTGGGCATATTTTCCCGGTGGTTGATGATCTGGGATCTTGGCATTATAAGCATCACCACAAACTCCACACTTCCCTTTGTTAATATAATGGTGGGTCTGAAAACAAATGGTACAACTACATTGTATTGCAAAGTTTTTTCATGAGCCATGAGCAAATTTAGTTTGTTACGCTAAATTAACCTCCTGAGAATATAACTTTGGATTAAATTCTGAAGGGATTAAAGCTAAGTGCAGAACAAGATCAAGTATCAGTCAATTGCCTTTCCTTTGTAGCTGTGATTATACATATTTCTGTCAGTATATAAAATCATTGTAAAACTTACATAGAATCCTCCACAGTTTATCTCATTATCATTCGGGTTCACAAGTTTCGACAGCTGATCTCTCCATAAACTGGATCTTTGTGCAGGTATCCGAAGGCGAGCATGACTTTGTGTCAGATCAAAACAGAACACAGTAATCAAGATTACTAAAACCATGTTGTATATCTGATTTTCACAATATACAGTAATATACATTAACATATGGTTTTTCTTATCCGAATTCATTAATTGACAAAGATGCTTTCAATCTAGGAGACGAATAGTTCTGAAATGGTGTAAACGTTCAAGACAATTGAGGTGATCCCCATTACCTGTTATCAAAGATCGCCTTGGCCCGAGGACTATCAATTTATTGGTATGTAATAGCCTTTTATTGTTATAATCAACACATCTTGATCATCAAATTTTATTGTAAGTGGTTGATATTTTAATTTTGATGTCATTTTAAGTTGGGAAATAACTATAAATTTGTTTAATTAATTAATAAAGTTTGATGGTCAGTTTTGTATTAGATTGTAATGAAATATACGTAAATAACGCACTCCTTTGGAAATGTTACAGATCGAATATTGAGGGTATACGTGGTAAACCTTAATCAAATTTGCTCAATCCGCAACCCTCGGATCTAATAGAATTTTCGTAATAGATGAACGAAATTATATGGTCTCAAACTATGTACGTGTAAATAGATTTCGATACCGAACAAAAACATGTCTGGTAGTTTGATTTATATTACGATTGAATATTCTACTGAAACTTTATTTCAGGTTTCCAACTTAACTCTCAAACTTGTATTCGTTCGTTGAAAATTTATTTTAAGCAAAAAATAGATGCATGAAGTAAGTATCTAGATTTTCCTTAATTTCTTTAGACGACTAATAAATATTTGTCTAAAATTGAGCTCCATCAGCCGCTGTACGGAAAATAAGACATGGGTAAGTTCCAACGTTTCAACTCGGCTACATTTCGTCTCCACATGGTCAGGTGTATAGATGCAGCCGGAGGGTCGGTCCGAATTCTGTTCTACCATGCATCTTCTCTCTCATAAAGGTCAATACTCAAACCCTGGGGACATAGTTCAAAAGAATTCAATCTTGATTTTCCACTCTATAAGTGTTTAGATTAGCAAGATTTTAATCTTTTTATTACATGGTCAAAGTCAGATTGGAAGAGATATAAACCTAATTTAATTATGCCTATAGCTCTATAATATTTGGTTAATAGTCTTGTGGATATACTTGTTCGGGCTGTTCTTCAACAGCGGTACACTATTATGATAAATAGGCGTATGGAATCTGAGGCATTACTCCCTTCCCTCAAAAAATTCTTACAATTTCGCGATTTTCTCAAAGATTTCTCTCGGAGAATATAGCCTGAGTGTATAGAACGACTTAAATCGTAATTGTTGAAAAAATGTATTTTTTATGTGCCTTATTACCCCTAAAAATTATATTACCCCTAGGTTGAAAACCACAGCATTATATGATCTAAGAATACAAGGTGATGACAGAGTTCATCTACTGTGTTAATATTTTTTACCTTAATATTGATTAATTGTTCCTGAAACATGTCAAAATATTGTAACTAGTAGGCCACAGCACATCAATTGTTCCGCTCATAAATTGGGGCAAGCCATATCATTGTAGGCCTACGTGTTTTTTTTTCACAATAATATTCGATAATTTGCTATTCTTTTTTGATCAATGAATTGGTGTGGTTCAAATCCGATCACATTGACGGTCAGTCGCACATGTGTCTCCCACAGACTGTATCTTCATCAAGCAGTTGCTGCAGTTGCTAGTCGGTCACTTTCTTGGTATGAACGTTGTGCCCCAACGAGATGCTTCATATTGCGAGTCGACGTGAGACCATTTTAAAAATCGCCTAGCTTTACACTTAATTAGAAGAAACTCGTTCCGGCAACGAGGACATAGAAGACGACTGAGTGAAACTTGAATTTTGATTTCCACTGACATAGCGATGGGTTGGAACTTCAATTCTGGGCTTCAAACATGGTAAAAACTTGCTCATGAAAATGTTGCGATATGTTTGGCTGATGATGATGTATGTGAAAAAGTCGGATGAACAGCTCACTAATGCTGACAGACTACCAACACCTTGGAAAAACATCAACGTATACCGGTTAGAGGAAAAGTAGCTATAATTGGGTAACACGTCTCCAATGAAAGCGTTAGTAGTCGATGGAAGGTTGAACAGGAAAAATACAAACGTCGATACCAAAATTGCCACGTTGGTTTGGCGATCTCTGGCTTCTCGACCAACAAAAACCTCTTGAAGCTGTTGACGAATCTTGCGTTTCCGATTCAATGAAATTGTCAAAATAATGTTGCAACACATGATACCGAGTAGTGGACAATAGACAAAGATTATCTTTGCTGCAAATCCAAAGTTAATCAGAACGTCTAGATCGTGATTAGTTCTTTCCAAAACATATTTCGTTCGTCCATCATCACCAACCGTGTCAGAAACGGTGTACTTCAACGGAGAATAAATATGAAAAGTAAACGTGATGCAGAACACCAACAATATGCACTTTCCAGGAGCTTTTAACCATCGGAAATAGTGTTTCTTCATAGGATTCTGAATTGCAAGCATTCTTTCTAGAGCTACAAGGAAAACCAAGTAAAAGATGATGCGCTGGACTGCCGCTACCACAAAATTGTTGATATATATTGCAGCAAAGTAGAAAAATTTAGTACTTCTCTGTCCAATCGTTCCATAAATGAATTGGTGAATTTTGGATATCATACCACTTACTAGTAAAACGATCTGCCAGGCACTTATAGCTGCAAGATAAACACTGGTTGCGTTCCGTATCCTTGCATCTGCGAACACGATAATGTTAACGGCATTGAGAATGATACCGATAACAGCCAACGGAATCCACGACTGAGCCAAGGCGGTGTTGAATTCAAAGAACACTTCTTGAGAAATTAGGGTCGTTTCTTGTTCATCAATGCCACTGGAATTGTTTGATACATTCATGTTGTTGATCGAAAAAGTCTCTTAAGAATCCATTCACTTTTAAAAAGTCTTCGTCGTCAACCAAACTGATGATCACGATCGACTTATCTGTGTCGAATTAATATTGTTCAACATACAGACGGTGAAGTATAATGAAGGTTCTGATTCGTCATGAAATCAGTCACATTTCTCCTCGGAAGTTCTAGTTGTTTCAGAATATCAAAGTTGTATCTAGTATTAACACGTAAAATAGAATGTTTTGAGCTTTGAACTAATGATTTAATACTATTAGCAAAAGACGACCAATATTGCTGTTCACGTCCGCAAAATAACAAGCCGTTACTGATTGTGCTTCGTGATCACTAGAAGCTATCCACTTCTGTCATCTCATTCTTCATTAATAAGGAGAGTATTTTTTACCTTCACTTGCAAAACGTCATGTAATACCATACAGATGGAAATGTAAGATCAGATAACAGCTCTGAAAAATATTTATATTCTTATACTCTTTCCAAATCAGCAACTCTCAATATTGTTCATGAACTTCATTTTTATACGACCAGAACTTGGCAGATCACCTTCGTTTCCACGTGATTTTATAACTGGCCATTGAAGTCGGTTAATATTGCCTTTCATTATCAATATTGATTCCCCATTAGAAAATGTGCATCCTCATAGATTTTTAATTATCATTATATTGTATGTAATATAAAGGGATATATCCGTCGAAATTTGGGGTTGTGTTGTCTATCAGATTTCGGGAACGATTGGTTTGATTTTCTTAAATGGAAACCCCGATGCCCGTCTATAATGAATTGAAACAAATCGCACAAGCATACGATACCATATGAATCTTAAGTTTTTGTGGCCGGTTTGATAGGGGATGAAGCAGAGATGCTAAAATATTCAGTTGTTTAAGCAATTATTAATGTACTTATTACCTTCAAAATTTGATTTGAAGACGGAAAAACAATTGTCAATCCAAAATGCCAAAACAGTAGGGATGCAATATGCTTAATGATAATCAGAAATAAAACGTGTTCCTGGAAGCAATTGATGTGCCTTCGGGAAAAACTCGTTGATTGATTATCTCGGAAATTAATTCATATGTAGGAGATATAAAATTATGGCTTTTTTCAATTAAATGAATGTGGAATCACATGAATACATGAACAAAGTTGATAAAAGCTTAGAACACAGTTCTGCAAATATAGTTCACGAAAATTTGACTTAAATTTTTCACAGGCAGTGTTTCTTACGCATGATAACTTTAAAATGCTCTGTTTTTTTACATGCATGTAGGGTATTTTTAACTCTGTTCCCCAAAGTATTTTTTTAGGATAGGTGTTTGCATTAAGAATTCTTTTGATTTGACAAAAGCGGTTCATAACAAATAAAGTGTCTGTCATCTTTGTTACATTAAGGAGAAAATAAGAAGGACGGAGACCCCAATTCGTCTAGTCTTTCAAAAAAGTCAGAAACATCAAAAGCAGCTTAAGGCAGAATTAGTCTTGAGATATTCTAACAGACTCTAATAATGATCACATTTTAACGATTTCATGTTTTCAGTCTTATGTTTCACGTTTTACTTTTCTTTACCTGATTTGGTTAATTAAGACGGATAATTCCTATGAAAGTTTTCCATGCGAGCGGTATTAGATTTCAAATTTGTTTTTCTCAAGCTGTAGAAGAATTTTTTAAGCTGTTATCTATAGCATTCTGTGCTTCAGTTTATTGACAATTTTTATGTTAGCCCTTAGCGATCTGTATCACTGACAGGTGGAAACGCGGTTGAAACAACACGAAAGCATATTTCGACCTAGGCTGGGACCAATTTACAGAAAACTTATTTAAAGCCAGCATGATGAGCAACAAGAACAAACTGCCCATCGCCAGCGCATTGCAACATAAAACATACAGTATATCACAGTGTTTATGTTTTAATGGCCACGTGAATTTGGTAGCCCAAGGCTGGATGTTCGCGACTGTTAATGGCGGCAAATGTAAACAAACTATAAGCTATTTCCCAATGAAATGTATAATTTGTTAACAAATAGTCACAATATTGTCTAATTATGTAGCCTAGGTCGAGTCAGAATTATCTCCCAATGGCTCTGAAACTATAGACTACATTTACATTGCATTGGTATAATAACAGAAGTAAACAAACACACGCCAGAAGACACCTGGATTCGCCCCATTCAACACCGAGGTTGAACAAGCCAAGTTTGTGTAACAAGCACAGTCCACTTTTTTTTAAGTAAGTGGAAATGTATGTCCAGTTTTTTCTCCCTCAAACAAAATAGACTGTCTGTAAACATGTTCCAAATAAGCACGGTATCGGTGTGAGTGAATTTGTCATCAATTGATCACTTTTTGCAGTCACAAATATCAGGGCTACTGAGGGCTTCGACTGTCCTTAAATTCATGAAACAAAGCTAATTTTGGGTATGAAAATTTTCACTGGAAATGTGTTTATTTCCAAAGGCTCCATTCACATAAGTTTATTTTGAATCTTATATCATCAAATGTCTAGTGACCAATTCAATTAAGTTCTGAGGTCACTAAGTAGGCCCAGTTCATAATGAAAACAAAGAAAAAGATGAAGCAATTCCTTTACTTTATGCTAAGTATACCAATAATAAAACAATTATTATTTATACAAAATACTTCATTTGATCTTAAACATAAACAAGAACATAACAACTTAATAATCTGTTAAAAACAACAAAATCTATAGGCAATATCATTATCATATTTATAAAGATATAGTATAATACTTTCATATCTGTTATGTAACAGAAATATCAATGGAATATTTATTAAACACAAATCTGTTTAGTCCATAATATCATATCCTGGTTTTAAAGATATAGTATAATACTTTCATATCTGTTATGTAACAGAAATATCAATATAGTATTTATTAAACATATATCTGTTTTAATAACAGAAGCTACACAATTGTATACAACATAATGCTTCAGGACATAATTATCAGCACTGTTAAATAACAGAAGAAAATACCTGTATATATTAATATCAGATAACATATTATTATTTATAACAGAATTTACAACAGAAGTTATACATTATATATACTATGTTTCATATGGAACAGGTGACTTTCTATCTGTTTCACAACAAAAGTTACACAAAATGTGTTTAATAGTATCATTATATTGGTCTGGATACTCAGATTACAACACACTATTTGTCTGTTTTGATAACAGAAGTTAATATTAATGTGTTTGTATTTACAACAGTGCTGAAGCACATTTCAGATCTGTTCATGAACAGGTGTCATTTTTCATCTACAGCATAGAGTGATTCCAATTCTTAATAAAGTCAAAAATGTTCATAACTACTCTGCAGTATTTACATTTTTAACTTTTTGTTTTTGATCTATTCATCAACACTATCATAATCACCTGAAAAGTAAATAGTTGCAAAATAAGACTCAATGTTCTCCTTTTCCAAATTATTGTATTGCATCAATTGATAAGCAAAGCAAGTCCAGTATTATTTGCCTCTCATTTGCTTTTATTCTTACAGCAAGCTGCTCATTTTATCATATCATGCACAGTGCTTTACATTTATCAGAATTAAAATCCATAACACCAAAGTTACATTGTCCTGTCTAAGATTCAGCCCATGGTTGTCTTCAGAAACAATCGCTTTCAATTTATGGACCTTAGTTGAACCCAACCAAACTAGAATTATTAGAACTAAATTATGTAGAAATGTTTTGAAAAGAAGTCATCACACTTACTGAGGTTAACATTAGCTCTAGACAACATTTTGTTCACGATTTCCCATAAACAGGATGGTTTAGGAAACTCATTATCTACCAGATTAACTAAATAGTATCGCTTCTGGATTGAGTGAATTATTTCCCTTGATGGAGAATCAGCTGGGTAAAGCTTTCCCCAGGTTTCCATCCATAAAGCAAAAGCTTCATCCTAAAAAATGTATACACAATTTCAAAATATATCACTTCAATATATTTTATATGGTATGCCATTTCTTTATTGGTACAGATAAAACAAAATTGGAAGGGCTTGTTTGTTAAGAGGTGGATGCATGTCCACTAAAACAAAGCCTTTTATGATGTCACTACTCCAAAAGCTTCTGCTATGTTAGGGTTTGTGTGATGCTGATGTCCAAAACTTGAGTGGAATTGCAAAAATTACAGACATCTGATTTAAGTACTAAAGAATTTAGCATACCTTCCAAGATTTAAAAGCTATAGGATCAACTACTGTAGGTTGTATAATTTCTCTACCAGGAAAAACACCCCAGGTCACAGCTATTGGTTCGGATTCATCGCAATTTGTGTAGTCTGCATCACCCTGAAAAAACAAAATACACCAGTTTAGACAAATTATTTTTGACTCAGGTCCCTGGGATGTGTAGGTTCTATTTTTCCCAAATTTGAAAGCTAACAATACCCTAAATGTTGGTATATTTTTTTATGTATGCAGTCTGCTCTATTTATAACAAATATTTATATGCAAGCCTTTTTGCTTTGCTTAGACAATAGTTTACTTTTATGAATTTCAAGATATGAGTTTGCACGATATCTACTTGCTACCAGGTTTAGGTTTCTAATCTCATAAGGTATAACAGTTAAACCAGTGCGTATTGGTTTTATAATAACTTACACTATGATTTAAAATATGATAGTTAACCAGAGGATAATCTGTCAAAATCTCTTTTAATGCTTCAACATTCTCTGGTGAAGTGAAAAATTCTAAATAAGCCTAAAAAACAACATAATATTGTGATACACTTTTTAAGTTTCCTTAACATTAATAGCTGAAATAATGCGAAATTATTTTTTTTTCAATGCAAAGTCATTCTAAGACTAACAATACTTTATTAAGGCTGATAAAATAAAAGTAATTGATAAAATTCTAAAAACTTTTTAATTTGCTTATAGAGTTATATAGGGGTCCTCAGCCAGACCTATATTTTTATTGCCCTACGATTATTTGATGGAGGTTTAATAAAGCTGTCAAAATTGTACCTTTTGGAAGATATAACCATTAGGATTTCCCCATCCCACACTAGGATCATTAGATGGAGCAGCATTGATAGCTGGTTGAGAGTTGATAGTTAATACTCCTTGTTTGTTGATTTCAGCCAGTTGATCTGCTATAATAGCTGTTTCTGCAGACATTTCATCATCATTCCAGGGAATCTCTGTTACCTAGATTAACATGAGAGCTTGAGTAAACGCTTGGTAGGTATTTTCAAACTTACAATCACTTACTGTCAAAAATATCATGCCAAATTAATAATAAATGTGGATTATCAATTCTACAAATGCTCCACCAGTAGACCCATCAGAATATGTAGTGTGTATGTGGTGAATAAAAGTCTGGATAGAGTTGAAAGCACACCTCAAGTGTATGTATATACTTCCATCTAGAGCCTCCAAAGAGACTGATGCACCATTTATTATGGCAGTGTACATTTATTATTAAGATTGTTTTGAGCATGATTTGAATAATATCACCTAACTGAACAGTTTTATTTTGTATTACTATGAAAATCTTTGTTCCTGAATTTAACAATACTTATTTTAATGTAATTGTTGGAATAAAATAAATAAATTTTCATCAGTTACTTCCCTTGAACTTTTATCATTCAAATCACTATTTTGTTTTGTATGTTCCTATTTGTAGTGTATGTTGAAGGGTGTGACGCCTGATAAAACATTTCATTATGAAATACTTACTTATGATTGATATACTTCCTCATATTAAAAGTTCATAAGCTGCTACCACAGCCCCGTCGCCAGGAATGAATTGATGCTGGGGCTAAGATTTTTGTACTCAAAAAATTTGAAGAATTAAAGGCCCAGTGAACTCATTTTTGATAATGTTTAGGTGCCAAAAACGAATCAAAATTTATATCTTTTTGATTATATACAAAGACCTGGAAATGAATCAATCTCTGCTGAACTGAAAAAGGTTTTGCTGGGGCTTAATTCTCACTAGCTACCAATGTTTCATCAAATTGTTGTCTTGGGTTCTGTTTTGAGGTTTGGATCATTAGTAATTGGTTTATCTATTGTGTTAATATGTATACTTGACTATAAGTTATAGTGTTATTATTGTGGTATAATGTACATATGTCAATTAGAGTTCTCTCCCCTCCCCTATTTTCTTGAAATTTTTCACACAACTCAACTTACCTGCAAACCAGCTTCATTTTTCTTGCCAGTAATATATCTGTAGAAGACATCCCATACATCTTCTTCTCGCCTTAATTCACTGCCCCACATTTCTAACAAACTTTCTTTAGCCGAGTTACTTTTTAAATAGAATAAATGATATCTTTTTAAATCACCGAAGGAGGCAGCAGATGAATTGCCCCATCGTCCATTGGGAAATTCGTCCCAGTTAGAAGTTCTATATACATAACTGTTAGGACGACCGGCCCAGAAAATTGGACGAATTTCTTCCTTGCACCTAGCATGATTTGCTGTGAGTTTCCATGGCAACGGTCGACGAACCTCCTCCGTCCACATTCCTAGTCTTTTGAGAATTTCAATGGTTGCAACTTCGCGATTTAGTGTATAGAAATGGAGTCCTCCAACATCTCCCGAAGCCAACACATGCTTACAAAGGTCCACACATAAATCTATACCGAAATTTCTTATAGCGGCGTCATTTTCTTTGATAGGGTTTATAGCGTCAATAATTTCTTGAGGAACCTCTAGTTTTGATAATTTGACAATGTGCCGGAGTGATTGGTAAGCCTGAAACAAATGAATTTAAGAATGTAGTAGATATTATGCTTTATTTGTCAAAAAAAAACATAATTAGACTTTTAAAATGGGATGACAATAAGTTGACATACTCAGTCAAAGAGTTGAATCAGGTGTTCTGGAAAAATGATTTCTCATGTGATGTGTTAAGTTAACATTACTTGCTTAGATAAATTGCACTCATTTCAAAAGCAACCAAACTTCATGTTTGCATGTTGAAGTTGAGAGCAGTATTATGAAGATGTGTGATCAGACAACCAAAAACCTGAAAATTGTGGTACCTGAATTGGTAAAATGCCAGGAACTATAGGACAAGTTATTCCAATATCACGACAGTCTTGGAGAAATTTTAAGTACGTCTCAGCTTCAAAGAATAACTGAGTGATGATGAAATCAGCTCCAGCATCAACTTTTTCTTTTAAGTATTTCAAATCATCTTCATAGGATGTACATTCTGGATGTCCAGTAGGGTAGCCTGAAAATAAGATCAATAAAACTTTATGATTTGATCTCTCTGACAACTGGATACCCAAAATCACTGGATTAGCAAATAATCTTCACCAACAAACATATTATTCACTTTTCTCTGATCCAATGTTGTTGAGAATATTGTATTATCATTATTCCAATGGAATTGTCTAGGTGATATTGGTTCAAGTGTATATCATGATCAAAAAAATATCACTGCTTGTAAAAAAATATCATGCCAAAACTAATAGCAAATTATTATCAAATTCTGCCAATGCTTCACCAGTAGACCCATCAGAATCTCCAGTGTGTTGAAAGCACCCCTCCAGTGTATGTATACTTCCATCATGAGCCTCCAAGGAGACTGATGCACCATTTATTTTGGCAGTGTAAATTTATTAAAATTAAAATTGTTTTGAGCATGATTTGAATAATATCACCTAACTGAACAGTTTTATTTTGTATTACTATGAAAATCTTTGTTCCTGAATTTAACAATACTTATTTTAATGTAATTTTTGGAATAAAATAAATAAATTTTCATCAGTTACTTCCCTTGAACTTCTATCATTCAAATCACTATTTTTTTGTGTATGTTCCTATTTGTAGTGTTTGTTATGGAATATAACCATCTGTTTCAAATATTCAATAATTTGTGTAGATAACCTAATCTGGACAAAAACTTAACAGTACCATCCAGTTTTTTATCACAAAAAAGAAAATTTTCAGTATAATGAAATGAAGTCATTGAAATGGTGTCATCAACCTACCAGCGACACAGATAACAAAATAATCTCCATGTTCTTCTTTGATCAATTTGACTAGATCAGTAGCATAATTTAAACCACCTTCTACATACTTCCAATCTCCATCATCAACTAAAGGATCTGGAACATTTGATATTAAATTTATACACCATAACATGGGGCAATATAACACCTACATGTAAATCATTCTTCAACTTATTAATTCTTAGTCCAAGACAAAAAACAAAGTATTTGGCTTTCTCAACCCCAGCATTATTGGTACCCCAATATTGTTGGTATCGTATAGTTATTTCAAATGAGAAGATCATTTCCCCTAAACCGTAAAAGAAAAGGTGCCCCAATTTTTTGACAAATCAAATAAACATAGTCTGTGAAATCAATTTTGGGAAAATTCAGATGTTTTTGAAGACTATATATATATATATAAAGGGAGTTAACAAGTAAATTTTAAATCTTTACCTCCTCGTAAAGCCAGAATATTTCGGATTCCTAAATCTTTAGCCTTCTGTAAATGATCTTTTATAGTTTCAACGCTCTGGCCACAACAGGTCATGTGTAACATAGTCTCAATACCACAGTAGTTGACCATGGTACCAGAGATACAGGTGGAGCTAGTAGGTGTATCTACATTACCAGGATCACCTGCAGGATGCCAAGTAATATCACAGAATAGTGGTTTACCTCGTGCCATTCTTTCAAACCTGGAAATTATGTCAAGGAAAATTATTGTGTGGTCTAATTTTGATTTCAGATTTGGAAGTGTATGCATGAAAATGTAATTAATCTTAAGCTAGAAGCATGTATTGCTCTGTTTCACAGATAAAGTAGCAAAGAATTGGAAAGTTCAGTTTTTTTAGAACCTTGCCAAACATCCACTGGCTCATGAATCTAATGAAGATGCGTAACAAGCATTATGTCATGCACAAGAATTCTATTTATAACTATAGGGGGTGCAGACCGCCCCCAAAGAATATGAGGCCTTGCTCAGGACCAATATGATTGAAACAAAAATGAAACTTGGTTTGGCCTGTCTCTATAAACTAACAGATGAATGACCTTAATCATGAACATTTCAGGCAGGATATAGGTCACATTAAATCTAACTAAGTATATATTTATATTAACTCTTGATTACAAAATATACAAGATAAATCAAGAATTTCATTCATATTTTAACCCTTATCTGGAAACCGTGTCAATGACTTTAGAGTGATACAGATTGCCTTCACAAAATCAAATTTCCCATTGAATTAAGTAGGCTACAATGACAAAAACTAGATCAAGAAAATTCTAGTTTATTTTTTATATCACCACAGTCTAGAAATACTAAGTACATGAAATATAGCATATACCGGTATTGAATTCTATTGAGAAAAAAGGTGCAATAGGTATGACAAAGTTGGGAAACTAGATCAATTTTAGTTATTCCTAATATTGGATACATAAATATTCTGGGGTTTATAAGTTAAAATTTTGAGGGCAATAAATTTGTTCTGTATGGTTTTGAAAGCCAAGAATTCATTGGTCTTGATTTTGTCAATTTCGGTCAAAAAAATATTATTGAATGAAACAATAATCTGAGAAAATCATTTTGTCTTATGTCAAAGTGACATTTTGTGCTAATTCATCAATATGTACTATTTTGATACACATGTATTCACAGTTTTTGTAACATAATATAATATACAACCAATATATATTTGTCATATATTATATCATATTGCAGGCTATTTGTAAATTCTCAAGCTGCACTGACATACATCTTGTTACTATTAATTCTATATTTTATCATTGTCCTATTTGGCCAAATCTTTTCGTTCCATTTTGAAAGTCCTCCTGATACCTGATAGCTAAAAATAAGTGCTTTCAACTGTTAACTCTTGGGAATGTGACCAAAAATAAAATTGCTTACCTTTGTATTAAATTAAGAGCTCCATTATTTGTTCTGGGAGGAAAAAATTCCAAAGAAAACCAGGAATCTCCTGATAGTTTCCTTTGATTGATTCTGTCAATTAATCGACTATATTTTGGTTTACATCTGTATCTGGTAGAACCTCGGTCACTGCATGGTGATATACTCTTAGGTGATGAACTTCTGGATGATTCAGAGGGTGACACATCCCCTTGAATTTTTATGGCAGAACCATTTTTGTGTTTAACATCTGTATCTCTTAATGCCACTTCAGGCATTGCGATGAATTATAGCTCTGGAAAAACAACAAATTATTAAATGAAATTTATAGTAATAACCAACTTTCAGATGAAATTTATCGTAATAACCAACTTTCAGATGAAATTTATAGTAATAACCAACTTTCAGATGTATTTTATAGTAATAACCAACTTTCAGATGTATTTTATAGTAATAACCAACTTTCAGATGAAATTTATAGTAATAACCAACTTTCAGATGTATTTTATAGTAATAACCAACTTTCAGATGAAATTTATAGTAATAACCAACTTTCAGAGGAAATTTATAGTAATAACCAACTTTCAGATGTATTTTATAGTAATAACCAACTTTCAGATGAAATTTTTAGTAAAAACCAACTTTCAGATGAAATTTATATTAATATCCAACTTTCAGATGAAATTTATATTAATAACCAACTTTCAGATGAAATTTATAGTAATAACCAACTTTCAGATGTATTTTATAGTAATAACCAACTTTCAGATGCAATTTATAGTAATAACCAACTTTCAGATGCAATTTATAGTAATTACCAACTTTCAGATGCAATTTATAGTAATAACCAACTTTCAGATGAAATTTATAGTAAATAACCAACTTTCAGATGAAATTTATATTAATATCGCATTTTCAGATGAAATTTATAGTAATATTTCCCATTTTAAGATGAAATTTATAGTAATAACCAACTTTCAGATGAAATCTATATTAATATCCAACTTTCAGATGAAATTTATAGTAATAACCAACTTTCAGATGAAATTTATAGTAATAACCAAATTTCAGATGTATTTTATAGTAATATAATCAATTTTCAGATGATGGTAATAACCAACTTTCAGATCAAAATAAAAGTTATACTTGCTTCAATTAAAGCTGCAGGCCTGTCTATGATGTAGTGTAGAATTTTTGAATTTATATTCAACTTATAGTCTAGAGTGTTGTAGTTTTTTTTGGTTGTAGCAATAAAGTCAGTTAGTTTATTATATAAAAATAAATTTAAATTGAAACATAATAATATATATAGCCATAAACCTTTCATAAATTCTGTATACAACCAACTTATGTCAAAATTTATTGTCACTTGTTACTTATCTATCACTTGAAAATTTGTTTTTTTTTTATTTATTGATTTTCAATATGTAATATATCTAATTTTAAATTTTCTCAACTTGCCTAACTCTTTAAATTCAACTGACTTTTAATTTTTGTATTAGAATTATAAGTATTATAATCCTTTGAAGATAGGCCCCAGCTCTTAACTGCTTTCAACCCTATTGTCTTATACTGCATCCTCTTCTGTTTCCAAAACCCTAAATAACATCTAATTCTTGCTATGCTACTGTCAGAGTTATAACACCGAATACTTTTTTCCGTTGATAAAAATATAGTTTTTTGTAAGTTTACATGGAAAAGAAACACATTTCTCTCCTAGAAATTTCAACCAAAAATAGTACCAAAGTTGGCCTGAAAATTGTCCTCTGTATGAGCAAGACATAATGTGTGCTGTGCTTTTATTTCTAGCAACGCAAATACATTCTAAGACTAACAGCACTATTTTGAGGATGATATTCCAAAGAATTTGCTCAGACAATAAATATATAACTTGTAACCTATTCATAGCATTTTTAGATAACTAGAATATTTCTTGATTTCCTTACCCACATTTACAAAAGAAAATTTCAGAAATTTAAATATTGTGTACATACTCTCTTGAATTTTTAGTAGATTGTATGTTTGCACTTAAATTTATGTTCAGATCTAATTGGTTAAAGCTTTTGGAATGAGTTACTGTCAATGCATTAAAAACTATCATAAATTAAAACACTTTATAGATATTGCCCCTAAAAACTTAAAACCATAACCTAAATTAAAACACTTTATAGATATTGCCCCTAAAAACTTATAACCATAACCTAAATTAAAACACTTTATAGATATTGCCCCTAAAAACTTATAACCATAACCTAAATTAAAACACTTTATAGATATTGCCCCTAAAAACTTAAAACCATAACCTAAATTAAAACACTTTATAGATATTGCCCCTAAAAACTTATAACCATAACCTAAATTAAAACACTTTATAGATATTGCCCCTAAAAACTTATAACTATAACCTAAATTAAAACACTTTATAGATATTGCCCCTAAAAACTTATAACCATAACCTAAATTAAAACACTTTATAGATATTGCCCCTAAAAACTTATAACTATAACCTAAATGAAAACACTTTATAGATATTGCCCCTAAAAACTTATAACTATAACCTAAATTAAAACACTTTATAGATATTGCCCCTAAAAACTTATAACTATAACCTAAATTAAAACACTTTATAGATATTGCCCCTAAAAACTTATAACCATAACCTAAATTAAAACACTTTATAGATATTGCCCCTAAAAACGTATAACCATAACCTAAATTAAAACACTTCATAGATATTGCCCCTAAAAACCTATAGCCATAACCTAAATTAAAACACTTTATAGATATTGCCCCTAAAAACTTAAAACCATAACCTAAATTAAAACACTTTATAGATATTGCCCCTAAAAACTTATAACCATAACCTAAATTAAAACACTTTATAGATATTGCCCCTAAAAACGTATAACCATAACCTAAATTAAAACACTTCATAGATATTGCCCCTAAAAACTTAAAACTATAACCTAAATTAAAACACTTTATAGATATTGCCCCTAAAAACTTATAACCATAACCTAAATTAAAACTCTTTATAGATATTGCCCCTAAAAACTTATAACCATAACCTAAATTAAAACGCTTTATAGATATTGCCCCTAAAAACTTATAACTATAACCTAAATTAAAACACTTTATAGATATTGCCCCTAAAAACTTATAACCATAACCTAAATTAAAACACTTTATAGATATTGCCCCTAAAAACTTATAACCATAACCTAAATTAAAACACTTTATAGATATTGCCCCTAAAAACTTATAACCATAACCTAAATTAAAACACTTTATAGATATTGCCCCTAAAAACTTATAACCATAACCTAAATTAAAACACTTTATAGATATTGCCCCTAAAAACTTATAACTATAACCTAAATTAAAACACTTTATAGATATTGCCCCTATCACCATTTCAATTATTGTTTTAACACAAATTTACTCATTGCACAAACCTGATCTAATCTAAAAAAATAAATAACAAAAGATTTCTTACTACCTTGAAACTCTGAATTTAATGATCAAATTCATTGATTGCTTCATGCTTAAAACTAGCCACAATAGTATTATATTGGACCAGTCATAACTTATATAATAATATAACAGTTTTACCATGTCTTATAATTTAGCATAACATTATATCAGTATAGTGAATTGTTATATATTGTTACAACCATTGAATAACATAAAAGCCTTATTTCACTTTGCACTATTGACAATTACTTCACTTGGTTGTTTAATAAATATAATAATAATTGTCAATAAAAGTTAGATTTAGAAAATTTTTTACGTGGATATAACCACCTTTTTTTAATTATTTTATAAAGATAGTATAGCTTTACTTTATATTTGACTTCTCAAAGCAAATTTTAAAGAACTTAAAGATAAGAAATGTATAATATAAAAGAGGTTTTTGTATGTGTTAAGCAGCCATTTATGGCTTTTATTTGCATCATTCCAATTCTCTATTAAATGTCTGTGGCTCTTGTAGTTATAGAAATACCTATTATGACACACAAAAGTGAGTGAAAATTTGAATGGTGCAAATGAATGCTTTTAGTGCTCCTGATATATCAATTTGCACCATACAAATTTTCAAGAAGATGTCTGTGGTTCCTGCATTTCCAAAAAAAATTAGTGATTGATAACCACACATAAGCGCAAATAATGCTTTATCATAAGAGTCCTTTCACAATTAGTGACATCAACAAACACTGAATTTAACTGAAATTGCAGGAACCACAGACCACTGATTGTAAATAAGAAAGGTGCAAATTGATGCTTTCAGTGTCCACAAAAAACATATTAAAGACACTTCTTTACAATTTCTTGTAACTAAAAACAAGTTTTTATTCTTACTGTGTAAATTTTTAAGAAATAAAATAGATTTTCTCTGCAAAGTTTCCTTGAAATACAATACGGAAATACAGTTTCCTGATATTTTTCAGCCATTTTTAATTCAATTACATATTCATGACATTAATCAGATGCTTATTTATTTATACTAGCTTTATAATGATTATGATATACTACGTTTATATTCCATACCTATGTCATTGACATTTAACAGCTGATAGCTGACAGAATATTGTTTATATATATATATATATATATATATATACGGTACACTATATTATAACAATCGTGTATTATTTTAGTTCAACCTAGCACGCGTTTCTTGAATGGTCAAATAATAAGCATTCGATATACTTAGTAACCACGATAATTGTCTTGCTTACTCAGCCATTGCGACTTAAAACAATAACAATGGAACAATGGAAAATCCGCTAAATATTTCTCCGTTTCCATCATGCAGGCATACATTTTAAGATCGTTAAAAGAGTGAGCTCGAATCGTAGTTGAAAGATCTGTCAGAATAACATCCATTGTGCCGGAGAAAATATCCAATATTCCTGTCGTAGAAATCCGAAAATATATATCCGAACATCGGGCTGGTTGAAAGATGAAACCATGCATGATACGCAAGAATTTCAAAAACTGTCAAATTACCGTTTCGTTTTAAGATAATATTTATTTCTAAATAATTCAGTGAAAGAAAATATATAGCGTTCAGTAATAATTTAGAGACTGCGAGCCGACTATATTATTACTGAAAGAGAATGATCAACATTGAAGCCGGCTATTTATGTTCCTGATGAACCAATGAAATCATCCGGCATTGAACTAACGCCATCTACGTTGACATAGTTTTATGTAAGGATAACCAATAAATAAGGCCAATACAAAAACTATTTTTATCAGCCTGATTTCTTGTATAATGTGCCAATATCCTCTTGTGTCGATTTGTTAAGATCGGTTATTTCCCTTAATGTTTAGAAATATCAGCATTGTTAGAAACCCTTTGATACCAGTTATTTACAGAATAGCGTCCTATTTCTTTCAGCCAATAACATAATACTATACATTCAATGTTCCTTGTATATGTTAACCACTATCAAGAAGTATTTTCGTGTTTGTATTGAAATTTTTGTTACAAATTATACGACATGAGTGTGTTAAATTCCCAACAAACAATCCAACATCAGAGGATGTAATTTTTTATGATAATGTTCTTCAAATTGCTCCACTAAAAACGAAAGCCATTTGATACAAGCAGTCATCCAAGTTACAAACAGTTATGCTGATTTCATTTTATTCCATCAATATTCTTCTCGTCCAAATTATCCTGGATTTTGACGCCAGCTCAGAATTCCCAAATCGATTGGTTGTAGGTAGAGCGAGGGAGTCAGTCTTCCGTTTGGTAGTTTTTGGTATAGCTCTGGTGGACCTGATTTATTTTTTGTTCCAACTTTCTAACATCAAATGGTGGACGACACCTTTTCGTGTATTTTATTACATCTCTGTCCATGCGTTTGACCTGTAGACCTAGCCTACGTTAATGGACATGGTGCAATTCGGATTGCATAGTGATTTTTGAATCAAAAAATATACAATATGTTCTTGTTTTTAGCAGTACGCATACCTGAAGCTTTTTGAATATCCGTCAAAGGTTATTTCTCTTTGGTTTCAAAATAACCATAACCTCTGTCAGTGTCTTCTTTTGATTTGTAATATCAATTTCTTACAAGAATCCTTCTGTGACGTATTTGGTATTGTGGTTCTCGAAGTTTTCTCACAACAGGAGAATGAGAACCAAAACCGCGTATCATTTACTTAAGAATTTGAGGTGATCAAAGAATATTATTTGTGTATGTATTTCATTAGGTCGATATGCCTCATGATCGTTAAAATATTCAAGGTCGGTATAAACATAAATAACCATTATGCTTTTTTTAAGTATCGCATATATATATATATATATTGTACATTTTACTACTAAATCCACAATAAAGAAATATTGTTTATAAAAAAACCCCATCAAAATGTGAGGGACAAGTTCTTAACACATTATACCCATTGTTTTATTGTATAACGCAGTCCATGTCAAATTATAAAATCTAACACGTTTACACATTACATGGTGTTAGATTGTATTATGTAATATTATTACTTAATCCATAAAATCAGACCAACAATCCCCTCCTATCACCACCGTGTCCTTAACGTGTACATGGGTTACTCAATGTTCACTTGCGGATATCATAAAATAATATGTAAAATCCTTGACTAATCAACAAAATGATAAGATAATATAGAAAACGTGTTAATCAAGGCCACGCCTGTAACCAATTAAATTGATCACCTGTTCCGAAAATTCCCCAATATCTGAACAAAGTACCTGATAGCCTTTTTGGCCGACAAGACTCCGTGTTATTTCATTAAGTTAATATGAGAATTTTGAAGGAGAATCGGGTTTTCATCCCACAAGATAGATTTTAAAAATGCATCCAAGCGAGACATAATTATAATTTCGGGGAAGACGTACATTTAGTGTGTTAAAAAGTGATTTCAACATTGAACAAATCATCCTTCAATAGATTCTACATTTTCTTACAGATATTCAAAATTGCACTCTCTATGCCCTGTTGATAAATAACGATTTATTTTCGTCATTCGACCGGTATATACAAAATGGAATATTCACTATAGGTCAGTATTTTGTACTTCTTAAGTTATTTTTTGTGGTAAAACGGGAAATTAAATTTGAATTTATGTTGATCATTTCAGGAAAAGTTGCGTAATCTGTCTGTGAATGACCACGTCAAGATGACACCACCATCAGATAACGTTCAACAAAGATAACGATGCATGAAGTCACATAAAATACAAAGGTGAGTTGATATCTTAAAATTTTCCATTCATCTCCAAATTTCCCTTTCAGTATACATGTACCATAGTATATCCTTGATAACCTGGTCTACATATTCCGCTTCATGCTGTCATCAAAAATATTATCGCATGATATCGAAAGATAATTTGGGGGCACCCCATTTTTTTTCTTTCGTGGTTATTAAACAAAATTGCTATTGAGCTGCCCAATTGCCCTGAAATGGTCTTGACAATGTGTTCTTTATCGATGAGAGAGGTTAATGAGGACTAAAACGACAATGGTGCTTGCGGTCCAACATCTTCAATTAAATTGGTCTCTTTTATGTGGGTCATTTTCCTCATATGTGATGTGAGGACTACAAATAACACCATGAAACTCGTCTAATAAATAGTATATTATTATTTTATAAAAACAACTAGGATTATGTCATTTATACAGTTAGTTTTTGTTATAAGAATATTGGAGAACGAAACTATTGATTCAAACAATGAGCATTTTCTAATCTGTAACCAAACGTCCATGGTTGGTGTAAAACTTTAACTTCACATATTCGAAGCTGAAAGGAAAAAAAGGGGTTAAAATGAACTCAAGTATTCAAGTATTTTAATACAAAAACTGAAAACGACAACTTGTGTTCTAAGCAAATTAGTACATAAGAAACTAACCTCTCACAAATTGCAGAATAGATGTAAAAAAATGAAAAGTATCCAGCCGACCATTTTCCTTCAATTTCTTAATGAAGTTCTTATTCCACCCTGGCCTGTACATTTGGGAGAATTAAACCTTTCACTCCCCCAACACCCAGTAACGAAAGCTTTTGAAATTGTCGGTTCTGCAGTGGGAAATCATGACCCCTGTTCAACAGAGTCCACTAATTTCACTCACAATCCTTAACATAAGTGAACACTGCTTAAACTCAGTGTCAGTGACTTCTGTTAAATAGTGACTAGTTACCTTTCAACCACTATCCATGAGAAGGAATACTTACAGGACCACCTATTTGTGGAGGACATTGTTGATCAGTAGCATCATTATAAGCTGGAGTGTTGGGACAAGTTGACTCCTGCAGCATCAGATTCATTCTATATTCCCAACCACTGAAACTCTACAAGACAGGGTATTATACAGTTGATGATTACTAAGACCTATTTTCTTTTGTTAGGTCTTCCAAGAGCACTGGACATTAAAGACAGCTCTATTAATTGAATTTTATTTTGTAATATTTTATTTTGGTTTAACTATGAATGGGACGTTGCTTTTTGATTCTTCGATGTCGGCTCTTCCTATCATTGCGAAGCAGAAGCAGAATTCGCCAAGCGTTGGATTGTTCACCCACCAACAGGGAACGTGAGCTGGGTTTAGACCGTCTTGAGACAGGTTAGTTTTACCCGTATTAAATAGCAGTCTAATGGGATTTGTGTGCTAGATCGCTTTTATTCTGTGTGAGTTGGTATTCTTGAAGTTTTAGTACATCGTTCAAGTACCTGCGAGTTGTCATGGTAGTGTAAGATTTCCGTAGTTTCGATGTTTTTGATTTTGTATCGGGTAAATTCCAGAGTGTCTAATAAACTACAAAAACAAACCTTTTGCCTTGGATTATGGATATTCACCAAAACGTATCTATATGAATTTGGTTTCCTGTTTTGTTCATTGATTTTATTAACAGCAAAACCAGCAGCAGCTTTCATGTCTTGAGTCTGATTGGCAATAGCTTGTGATGCTGGTTTGGTAAATAATGATGTATCTATTAACACATACAATGAATATTGGTCTTTTCATACAAGACTCAATTTACAAACAATGGTTTAAAGTGTTGATGTGAAGTGTTGTGGGAAGCATACAAATTTAAATATTTTTGGGGCTAAGAGAGGATTTCTAGTTCACATGTTGAAGATGAAGTCGATACAGCTGATACTTCATCAAGGATCTAATTCCTAAATGGATATTGTCTTTGTATCTGAGAGTGGAGGGTCTGAACTGAAATGTGCTACACATCAACAGATATACTGAAAAGGAGCCGAGATCACTTGCTCTTATAAGGTAAAGTCAATTAAGCTAGATCAATACTACTATTAGATTAGCCTTAAGATGCAAACAACTTACTTGTAGAAAATGCGTGTGTTGAACAATGCTGAGTTTTCAGTTTGTATGATAACAACAAGGGTACACGTTCCACTTCTATATAACATGTCTTAGTCTGAAATAAACAGATAAAACAATCAAACATCGTTGCGCCGAAATTCTCACGAAGAATAAAGATCTTATACTGATGATTCTGTTCTAGATCATTGGACAGACATCGCTTGTATTTTCGAACATTGTGTTATCCCTGAAAATGTATGTCCACGCGGATCTTCTATAATGCTTTCAAGATAGACGTACACTCACCGTAGCTTTGTTTTGTGGTGGACACTGGGTTGTATTAGCATTGATATATTGATCTATATTTTGACAAGTTGATTCTACTAAATCAATTTCCATAGAATATACCATTCCACCAAGGAACTGAAACAATCAACATATTCATTTTGATAAACTTTTTGAAAGTAAGTCTCGATATTTCTGCTTCGTTCTGAACTAATGATTGTGTCATGAGCGAAATTCAAATTGATCCGCCTTTAAGTAAGTTCATTGTTACTAACCCATCGTCATGCAAACTACTAATTATTGCTTTCTGAGAGTATATTTACAAGACTTTATTTATACTGTAAGTAGCAAGAAAGATTTAAATCCCATTTTCCCACCCTCATATGATACAGATCTCGATTTTACGACTACTGGGATTTTGTAGTTGTTTTGCTTATTAAATGAAACTGGTGTTCACGCCTGTTTTTCTTTGCCGTTTAATTGGATAAGCCAAGTTTTGGAAAAGATTTTGAGGTTCGTCAGACCTATATACAGAAAACTGTAAACTTAAAAGATTTGTAATGGAATACAATTACCGCTTGTTGTGCATTTCTAACATTTGTTAACGTATACCATTTAGGATCGATAATGTTGGGCTCTTGTCTTATTTGCATATTAATATCTTGGGCTGCGAATCTTGCAGCATCCATGATTTCTGGCGTGTCTGGGGTGACTTGAGGTACACCAGTATTGGTAGCGGGTGGTACTTGTTGCTGTAGTGGTGTATTTGGTGGAATATTATTTGGTCCTATGATGAATTTGAGTATGAATTTAAACAATTGGAGCTTTTGATTTAAAGCCATCCTAAATACTACGTTCAGTTAACAAAACAATACAAGATTTGAACGACATATAGAAGTGAGGAGCACATATAACAAAACACCAGACAATATTATGGAATATAACACACTTCTTTAATAAGGTTGGGCACATGATAAATACAAAGCTGCTTTGGCGAGTCGTATCAATCAAGAAGCAGTTATGAAAGCTGTTTTCCCAACGATCTACTGATAGATATAGTGTCTTTCTAATGATAGGACTAATCCTTTTTTGAACCTGATTCAAAACAATAAAATGACCATACCTGGCTGTGTTCGTGAATTTAACATACAGTCTAACTTGTCTAGTTGTAGTCCAGGTATATTTGGTTGGTCCAATACCTCTATTCTGCAAATTCGTACCTGAATAAATACAATGGATATCTTCGATTTAGTACTTACCGAGCTTCTTCATCATAACGGACTTGATCGTGTACCCGATTGAATTTATAATAATGGTCAAGTTTAAATAGGTAGCGAACGCCACCTTAAACTTTTTAATATCCGACAGTTGAGGGATTCTTATTATCACACCGCTAAGCAACTCTTGGTTTATTGTCCCCCCTTTGGTACAATTGGCTGTTTTTCCGGGCAGGCGGAAATTAATTCTAGGACTCGCTAGCAGATCATTTCACATCACCATGTCATAATAAATTTCAATCTCGTGCTCGGTCTGCAACTTTAAATACATTAAAACTTACCCTTCCACCGTTTATCTCCGGACATTGTAAGTTACTTGCGTCAAAACTACTTTCAATATTTTGGCATGTTGACTCATCCATGATAATCTCCATTTTGTACACCCAACCTCCAGAAATCTATAATCAATAAAACGTGATTGAACACGTCCTAGGTAATCATTAAAAAAAGATTCTGAATTGTTTTATGGGTGTATGTGACCTTTAACGCACTTTGACCAGTGATATTAAATGTAAGTTAAAATGAAAGTAGCAATTCAAAATTGTATTGAATTAAACATTTTTGCAACCAGAATTTCAGGTAAGCACTACCTGCGCAAACAGCTTTCATCTGTATTTGGGATATTAAGAATGACCTAAACTGATAACAAAACTGTACGAGTGCAACTATCGATTGTAGGAATAAATAAAGATTACAAAAATGCCTTTCTGAACGTTGTAATCACCCCGCATTTAAATAGTTTTGTGTCCAACTTACAAGTTCTTGTCTGGTTGCATTAGATATATCAACAAGCGTAAACCAGCTCTGTTCAATTGATTTACTTCTGGTATTAATTTCATTGGCGGCGAAATTGGCAACATCGATAACTCTGGGAGAGCCTTGAGACGAACCAGCACTTGCTCCATTAGTACTACCTGAAACTGCTCCCATTGATGCAGATTGGGCGTTCACTCGTGAATTCAGCCCGAGTTGTGCAGTTGCTGAATTGGTGTTCGGCAGTGAGCCTTGATTTAAGTTATTGGATGTTTGCGCTGTTGATCCCATATTAGCCATACCGTTTGGTGGAATCCCGGTATTGGTATTAACTCCTGCTTGTGTTAATGCAGCACTAGGAGCAGATGCACCTGTTGCTACACCTGATGATGTCCCTGCACCAGTGAGAGAAGCAGGAGAGAAGCCTGATCTTAACTGACCACCAGTAGAACTTCCAGAAGAAACGATATTGGCGGCTGCAACTTGAGAAGCCGAAGATTTGACAGGATTACTTAAAACTGCCCCTGTTATGATACTTGAAGCAGTTTGAGCTGGTTGTAAACCAGATATAGACATTGATTGTTGTTGTGTTTGTTGCTGGACT